GAGTTGAGAAAGGAAAGGAAAATAGAACGCGAAACGACGCGAGATTGTTTTATTGGTGTTGAACCAAAAAAAAAAAAAAAAATTTACAACGCGTCAACAAGCGGTCTGCTCTGTCAAGATTTTCGTTCACCTCCGTGTCAATTGGATGGTACCCCAATCTACAGCGCACATAGCCATAGTAAGCGAAATAGTACTGGCTATCATCATTGTTAATTATTATCAAGCAACAAATGAACGACAACGTGAAGAGGATGTAATTAGTAGTAATAGTTTTGTGGAAAGAAAGAGTTGCATACATCGAATTTCGTTACAACACCCTATGACATGCCGTTGCAGGCTGCTGATCCTGCTGAAAAGAACATGCTTTTTACATATAAGGTCGAGCCGAATAGCGTTACTGCTTAGTGGCAGCAACCTTTCAGGGCTTCTGCATGCTTTTGACATCTCTCATGTCGTCATTGTTACATACCCCATGCCATGTAGTCGGATCCCACCAAGCTATTTCTGAAAGAGAAAATCACTCATAAACACTCAGTAACGTATTAAAAAATGAGTATAAGGAGGAGGCACTGCCGAACCGTAATTACTAGTGCTTATATGCTAGCTATTGTATGTGTCTTGATGCCAGCCGAATTCGAGCATGAGTGCCGAAACACTATCTGTAGGCTGGACCTTTACCGGACGAACCGGAGGTCATACCCAAAACGACCTGGAATAAGCGCATTTAACAATAACTTTTACATGACTCTACTCTAAGCCACACAGGTTGACAAAGCTGGATACATTGACGCTGGGTACCAGGCAAGCACTTGGCGGCTTTATAAAGTGTGCACCTTGGATAGAGGTTGGAGGGTGTGGGTAAGGTAGCCAAAACGTCAGACAATGTGGGACTAATGGTACTTCAGATGGGCTTATTTACACTTTGTTCCCAATTTAGGAACTAGGTCCCCATCCTTTGGCACACAGACACTCAGCAAATCGGTTGGATTTCATTTTCAACAAGCTAAAAAAATTACTGGACCCTCTCTTGAGAATCATATTATTTTAAAAAAAGGAAATAGTCTAAAAATATTTATAGTAGTACAGCTTTAAAAGTTTCATATATTCCAGGTCATCGCTACAGTTTATAATCAAGAAATAACAATGGCAGATACTTGTGAAATGATTATCTTTCTTCTCCCAACGCTTGCTTGTGTGGTTTGTTCCCGGGAGTATCTCTTTTTTCTTTTGTTTGATTGTACATTATACTCCTTCATGGAAGATGAACCAAAGTAGTATTTATTCAGGGTGTTGTTGCGGAAAAAAGAATGAGTTGGTTGATTGGTTGCTTGGTAGCGTATATCGGGGGAGAATTGCTATATCGGGAATGGCATGCGTTTGTGCCAAGAGACAAAGAAGGAATTTCAAGTGACAGGTGTATTTGTGTTGCCCAGCAAGCAGTAGTAAGCGTGGTAGTAGTAGTAGTAGTAGTTGTTGTAGCTGCAGTTCTTGTTGTTGTTGTTTGTTGTTTGATTTTGTGCGTGCGTGTATGATGCGGTGTGTGTGTGTGTGAAAAACAAAAATTTGAGTGGGATTTCGGATAGAGTTGCTTATGCCTTCTTGGTATTGGAAGAGGGGAATCGTTTACGAAGCATGCGAAGCATCAAGCCGAACCAGTAGATATTGAGTAGACTTGTCACTACATTGGCGACACCGTAGATTACGAAATCTAGAAAATGGGGTTTAGGGGTTGCATGAGATATTTTATGCTGATTGTGTCACACAATCCTATCAAACCACTTACAGCTCCAGGGCACCATTTCCCTGACGGCATAAATCTCCACTACAACAAAGACATGTAATGTTAGAACTCGCTACTCATATGAAGAACCACAAAGACGCTCATTCATTCGTTCATTACCCCAAAGATAGTAGGACATCGATAAGCCAAATACGATCCGTGCCATGAAGAACACCGAAATCAACATGACGCCGTTGATCAATTGAAGCTTACTGCCCGTCCAGCCCAGCTTGTCCTGTTATAAGCCATTTTTACCAAGTTTTCCCCGTAGTTAGCCACACATAGGCCTTTCGTCTTGGTTTTTTTTTCCTTTTTTTTACATTACCATGAACCAATTAATGTTGAGAAAGGGTGTGCTGGCTTCATAGAGTAAAAAGATCGAGCCATAATAGTTGATAAAGGGTCTCTGTTGATAATGGGAAAATGATCAGTAAAACTGCTTCAAGAGTTCAGCGAGAGGGCCGATTCTGTTGCTTACATAGCCCATGAAGATGACGATGAAGCCTGCAACGCCATGACACACCATACTGATGCCTTGATACTTGATATAACGAACAGCCATCACCACATCCCAAATGAAATACCTAGTTTAAATTTTTTTTATCTGTTAGTTTGTTATTTTTTTAGGGAGGTGGAGAGACATATTGAAGCCACTACTTTTTCTTCTGTGTGCCTAAAGAACTACTTACCCGCACGAGATGGAGTAGATGGTCATTGCAGATGCGCTGTAGCCAAAGACCTTATTCTTTGCTAATTCGCCATCAAGTAAAATGGAGATAGATCCAACAGTGATTAGGATAGAGTGAAATGTCGAGACGACGTGAACGTGCCAGTTGGTAGGTGTGTACTATAAGCGGGCGCCAGATAGATAGATAGAAAGAAAGAAAAGGGTTTTAAGTCTTTATTGACAGATAGTATGAAAATCTGCTCTATGCGAGACTACGATGCCCCCCCCCCACTTACGCCTTTAAAGAACTGGAATGTCTTTGGGAACAATATCGGGGAGATGCATCTGGATATCTCGAATATGACGCTGCATAATATGGTGGATAACAGAATGACTTGCCAATGATATTTTAAAACGGGCAAGCCAATTGTGTCACACAGTGAATCGACGTAATCTTGGATCATTATCATTAGCTATTGTTTGTTAAAGGGAGGTTAGGTAGTAAAGTAGAAAGTAGAGAGGTGAAGAAAAGTAGTAAAAAGGGTTTAAAAAAGAGAAGAAGGGTCTTTGTATTGGTTGGATCTCGATCTCTCTTTTTTATCTTTTTTATTATTTTTTTAAACACCCCCCCCCCCTTTATTGATGTGCATGTTGGTGGATTCCAGTAAAGAGTGCCGTGCCGAGCACTGGGATTAAACTTGGCAGACACAAAGACAGCGCGGACGGCCATGCAGAAGAAAACCCTATTTTGGCGACTCCTTTATTTTTCTTCTCACAGTATCCATCATCATCATCATTATTATTGACAAACAGTTTATACACAGAAAATGATACAGCTCATATACAATTTAGAGAGAGAAAGGGGGAATTGAAGCAGGTATAGATAGTATCACACAACCCTCAGAATTTCTTGGTCGCTGTTACGATCTTCCATTTTGCACTGCAATGGTAGTCTTCAAATTCCTCCAAAGCCGACAAACAAACATGGTCGTACTCATCCTCCGAGACATGGAGCTCAGAGACCCACCACCGTTTCATGCTCTGAAACAATGCCTTCATCTGCTCCTTGTACAGAAAGCCAAACTGTCGTTGTGCTAGATTTTTACTTTATAGAATTAGCTTTTGATTGATATAGAGAATTTGATTTTTTTGCTTACCTGGATCACTTGGCCATTCGCCGATAGGTATATCGAATTCTTGCACATGGACGTCCTCGAACCCCGCTTGAGCTAAAAATGCAGGCAGGGCATCGGCATAGCTGGGATCGACGCCTATTGTGTCTGAGGCAATTTTGTACCATTCGTTCACCAATGCCAAGACTGGTCCCGGGTTCTTGAACAACAGATCTAAAATCCGCAATCCATTAAAAAAAAATCCTACATGTAAGAAGCCCCCTACCCCTCTCCTTGTATCCATTTCGTGACGACCAGGATCGCGTAACAAGCGACCACACACACACACAGAAATATGTTTTTTTTTTTTTACCATATTCTACAAGTTCCACCTGACCACCAGGGCGCAGTATACGATGAAACTCTGCAATCAAAAATGGCCATTGATGCATGGGCACAATATGTGCCACGTCGCGTTGATAGACGTAATCAAACTGTCGGTCGTTGTACTGGAGTGGCGCCAGCACATCACCGTACGCGTACGTTGCATTTGGCGGGATACTTTGGTGCGACAGGCCTGACTTGTCGCTGGTCGGCGGTACGATATCCATCCCGACCACATTACTTGAAGGATATGTCTGTGCAATTTCTAATGTCCATAGACCTTTGTTGTCGACGCGTTTTTTTTTTTGTTTTGTCACTTTGTATGATACAACTCACTTGGACCTCTCTTTTCTTTCTTTCTTTTTTTTTACCTGTCCCGCAGGCACATTCCAGAATATCCTGTGGATCCGTTCGGAATTCAACATGTTGGTTTCCTCCAAACACTTGTTTCAACACATAATGCTTTTCATAAGAAGCTTAGTATCCTTCCTCCCTCTTTTTTCTTTGTGTGTGTGTGTGTGTGTGTGTGTGTGTCAATTCAGGTAAGAAAGTAAAGGAAGGTACCTGTCGCAATTGTCTATAAAGATAAAAACGGTGATCAACAATCAGCAGATTTCCCACACACACACACAAACACACTCTGCTACTGAACTCAAAACTCTCACACGACATCTTCTTCTAAAACAACCATTTGCCTTTAAAAAAAAATTAAAAAAGCCACTCTCTCTCTCTTCCCGAATACACTTGTTCGTGTGCTGCTAACCTATTATACTCCTTTTCCTTTCCATATTCATACACCCAACTATTCATCTTGACTTGTTGTTGCTGACGACGCGTTGCTATATCTGCCGCAGCATGTTCGGCGTGAGCGATTGCCGAGTCAAACACAATCATCGAAGAGGACGTTCCTGCTGAAGTGGCCGTTGACGATCCTAATGAACTGCTCAGGGGTGAAAAGTCATCTATCGCTGCTAACGGTGGTGATGATGATGACCATGCTTTTTCTTCTTCTTCTTCACTTGAATGGATGGATGGTAAACTGTGCGTATCGCGTCGTTTTTGTCGCCTCGGAATCCGTATCGTTCTTTGTTTCCGTTGTTGTTGTTGTTGTTGTTGTTGATTATTGTTAAAAGGTGTAGAAAGTAGTGATACAGGTGTTGCCGTCTTGTCAGCTATCACGACTCGATGACGTATAGGTTTAGGCATTCTGTTGCTGTTATTGTTGTCAGGATACAGGCGGTAGTGATGGTGATGGTGATGGTGATCGTTGCTATGGTTGTTGTTGTTGTTGTAAGTGTCATTAGAGCGACTCGTGTCATTGTCGTTTTCTGACCGTCCTGTGCCTTCTTGCTGATGATGTAAAATGCGTTTTTGATAGTGTTGCTTTATTTTGGATGGTCGTATCTGTTGTTCTTTGGCAAGCTGGTTGCCCATATTATTGAATGCCGCCGTTGTCGTTGTCAATATGTGCTGCGTACGTACGTGTGTGTGAAAAAAGAAAGGGAGAAAGAAAAGACAGCTTCCTTTTTTCTTGGGACTATTTTTTCCCCCAGAAACTTATGTCGCCGTTGTTTGAATACGGAAATGCACAGCTGATCCGAACCCCACTTAATAAGAAAGAAGGAGCACTGTGCACATACCTCTTTTATTCTGATTCGTACTCCGTTTATGCACTGACTAACCCCCTCCTACATTTGGAAAGAAAGCGTATCACACCCACATTAACTTTAATGTTGCGTGACATATGGAAATTAGACACCATAGAGAATGGAGACTTCTATAAGAGATGATAATAACCCAGTAGTAGTATTCATGTCTATGATATTACGTATGTATAGTATACGGCTTTCGTTGACAAGGTTTGAATTGAGATGAGTAGGACATGAGCACATTCTATCGTGCTTTTCAGATACTATGTTTATTTTTTTTATCAGTCACAATAAGATGTAAGTTCTTGTACACATACGCACTAGTGCTAGTGATCAAGTACTAAATAGCACTTGAGTTGATTGACAAGCGTCTAGCTTCCACTTGTGCACATTCTATAAATGCTGTCCAAGCCAGCCCCAATTCATCAACGGAGAAGCAGTCAACACATTCAAAGTAACCAGCAAGTGCATATAATAATAATTATCTGCGTAATAGTAATATGCAGAGTAGATAAAATTAATCCGTTGCTATACAACAACAAGCATGTGGGGTGATCATGCGTAGTGACAGATTGGACACACTAATAATAAGATAGCAAGCAAGCAGGTGATCTGCGTCCATGTAACTATGGAAACACATTTTCATCCTAGCAACGAATGACGTGCGAATGCCGGTGCATAGTTACCCTTTGAATGACTTGATGATTAGAAAGCTCACAACAGCCTGTCGGACACGACTCGTCTGTGTCTTTCCCAATATAATTACTGTCGGTCATTTATTACATGGGAGAAACAAGGGAGGACTACTGCTACTGCTACCCACTGACATGTTTTTCTTTCGTGGATAAAGCACGTAATAATGATATTGGTAATACGAGCTTGAATTTCTGACTGACTAGAAAGACTGGTCTTTTTCTTAAAAGCCAAAATACATTATGTTTGCCTAATTGAGCTCTTTTGTCAAACTGTTTTCTGCAAAACTTGGCCGAGCTCTGGTTCGATAAGCTCCGAAAAGTGTTTAAGCGTCGATAGGTTTTCTAAAAGTGGAGTTGTTGATTGTTATTCACAAAGATGGCCTCTTTTTCGTTAAAGCGTTAGATTATTTTGCAACAACCTCCACTGTCTACATTGCGGGATGATGGATGTGTGATACAACATGCTACGCGAATAAAGTTGGATAAGAAAAGGACGTTTCGGTCCCATCCGACACGACGATGCTTATGCATCCTCATTAAATGAGAGTCATGTACAATTTTTTTTGCGTTAAACCGGCACACTAGTGATGTGTCACAAAGTTATAAAGCCATGCACTAAAACTTTAGCACATGTAGAATATGCAGATGATGCATGTTTTGAGTTTCTGTTGCGATCCAAGCGTAGCAAAAAAAAAGACGATCTGTTTTCTTTCTTACCAGCCGTAGCTACGAAAAGAGAGGTATCCATGTCGACTACTGCCCTTCTTGAAATGGGGTACATGGAACAATTGGCATGTTGTTGTATGCATATCAGTAGCGACGAGCAAAATGTTCCCAAGGGATTGACCTACCCGCATTGTTAACTCTCAAAGAATGATGCGGGTGGGGTGGCATCAGCGTTCTTCTCGGTGGTGGGCACAGCACACATAAAACTTTAATTCTCTTTATGGGAAAGGACGCTTTGAGCACTTTACATTATTTCTAGCCGTGGGTACGTCATCTGAGCGTAAACACAAATGCAAAGCACACGCGTACTACAACACAAAGTGCAGTTTATGGACTAGCGTCAATAGCACGCGAGCATGTTGACGATAAGGATTGTGTTCTTTTGTATTCTAGTCTGGTGCTACTATGAGAGAAAGAGTTGTTGTTCACTTCAAGTTGGGGTAGTTTCCACTTTGTTTCATGTCAACGATCTACGGGTCTATCACTTTTTGAAAACATGCTCGCTGCTAACGGGATAGACCGGGGCGCACCTTATGCATTGCTGCATATCTTACTACAGTACTACCTACTGGTGGTGGCGATGTTGACATGGTGCAAGTGAAATGACAGCACCCATGGTCTTTTTCTAACAACAAAACACACATATTTTTATATATTGAAAAATGCCAAGCTACTTGGCCCCGTTGCTATTTTTACTTTGCTGCATGAAACTTGCCAAACAACATGAACGGGCTATGTATGTATTGATAACACGACACCTTTGCTCTCGGTTAGAATGGTCAGCATCAATAACAGCGGCAGTGTACATGTTACATTGTTCTTGTAATGCATGATCCCGTTTGTACGCTACAGGTGGCACGACGGTTTATTTCGTTCTTCACCTTTTCATTAACCGAGTAAAGGGGGAGGGGTTGTGGACACACAAACACGAACGGACCAAGCAAAGCAAAAGAAAAGTAGTAGCGCCGCGTGACTCTCTCTCTCTCTCTCTCGTCCTCCACGTGGGAGGAATTGAGGGGGTGGGAGGGTTGAAGGGGGAGAGACTTGCTTTGTGCTTGGTTTGCCACGTGGAATAAACAATCCCTTTTTAAAACAAGGGACAAAGGGAGAACCTAATACTAAGCCTATGCATGGTTCGTGTTGTGTTGTGTTGTGTAAGCGGCAAAAAGAGCTCTTTTTCTCCCCCCCCTCTTACAACAAGTAGTCGGTACATCATGTATGTGCTGTGGATGCACAACAAGTCCATGTGACGTGTTCCATTTTTAAAAAATTAAATAAACACAGTGGTACTGTACACTGTTTCCTTAAAGAGAGAGAGAGAGAGAGAAAACATAACGTAACGAATGTTTGTTGTTGTTGTTGTTGTTGCTGCTTTAGAGTCGTGTGTGGTATGTGCGAGGTTCTTGAGGGGACCCGCATCTAATGATTGCAATTGACACTCGGCCGGGGATCCTCAAAGGCGATCTTTTTTGCGCAGCGAAGTTTAAATTTTGACTCAGCAGCACTTGTAGTAGTAAGCACAGAGACACTTATGGCGTGCGAGTGACATTTGGATTTGCTTGCAAGAAGAAGAAGTTGTTTCAGCAAAAATGGCGCATTTTTTGGCGGCGTATTCGATGGTGTTGGACACCGGCAAAAAGGACGCCCGCCACCCCTCTCTCTCGCTCCACCCCCCCCCCCCAAATCCATTGTTGCTATGATGTCAGGGTGTAGCCTACGGTTGCAGCCACTGTCGCACGTTGGAGGGTGATGACCATGATTGGTGAACGCCATTTACCGTATTTGGATCCAGGAGGCTCAGAACACCAAATACGGAAATGTTCTCTCTCTCCCTCCCTCTCTCTCTATGGCTGACTGAGCGTTTCATCACACAACACACGACTGTGGTTCTATCTTGCCGACGTTGCACAGACTGGTAACGCACGAAGCACGAAAAGAACTTTTGGCTTCTGAATGGAATTTTGAAAGCTTCTAGCATGGAACCACATAGGCTCTCTGTGATGGACCATTGGGACAAAAAACACTAGCCCCCCCCCCGCCATCATAGGGAGAGAAAGAGGCGTTCTTCATTACCCGAAAAACTAGATGGCTTCCCATTGCGGCGCAAAGGTACGAAACGATGATCCAGCTTGTACACATGTCTTTCTTTCTTTCGTTAGTCGTCATCACATACTAAACCGACTAGTGTAAAGCAACAATTAATTGAGCAGCCCTAGGGTGGTTTTACTCTATGGGAGAGAAGAATTCAAGGAGGGCTGCTATGAAGAAGAAGAAGAAGAAGAAGATGAAGGGGGAAGTATACCAAACCTTTTTTTTTTCGCAGGGATCAAGCTTTCAGTCCCACGCGACAAAACAAAACATTCCTTCCTTTGGTTCCTCTCTCCCCCAACCACCCCACCCCCCCCCCCTTAAAACGCTTTACTATACTGCGTTCAAAAGAGTGCAAAGGTGTGTGCGTCCCTTGTGTCACCAAAGTGACCCGGCAAACTTTGAAAGCCAGCTGCATGGTCGAAGCGGCCGTGTTGCCTTCTTGCCCTTTTTTTTAAACTATAAAAAGTGGCACCTCTCCACACGTCTGTTCCCCTCTTCAATTGTTCTTCTTTCTTTCCCCTTTGTTGTCATTGGACATAACAGCCCCCAAACACTTGTCGTCGTTCGTATACTCGTACATACCTCTCCATCCATCCACTACCTCTTTACCAGATAATATAGCGAATGTCTGTTAACTCTTCCACCACTATCTTTCTGAATAACATCTTCGTTAACAACTTTGAAGAATCTACCTTTGATTTCAGCTCCAATTTCTTTCAACAGACGACTCCCGCCCCGTCTGACGATTGTTTCCCTTTCTTTGACACAACCACCACCACCACTGTATCTGCACCCATAAACATACCTTCTCCTTCTCCTTCTTGTACAAACATCACCTATGCTCCTGTCAACACCAACAACAACAACAACCATTACTTGTACTCGCCCATCTCGACAAGTGATGACAGTCTATGCTTTTCTCCAGCAGCAGATTCAGGTAGTGTGTCTACAGACAAACAAACAAACAAACAAACATGCATACGCCAACAATAAAGGACACGAATCAGCTGACTGGTACATTGCATATTTAGATTTCCTATCAGCAGCATCTCCTGCATCGTCGTTGGGCTCCTATATGGCAGCCGAAACCTTCCTGACGTCCTCGAGTAGTAGTAGTAACAACAAGAACAACAATGTTGACTTTTTCAATCACGATTTCTGCCTGAATGACTCACTCGGATCACAGAACATCCCCTTTACGATCCCCGCGCTCCAGGTGCAACCCGAGGAAAACTGTCTTCCGACCCCAGTGGCTGGTTCATCGTCATCACCCGCTCTTCAGCAAGCGCCTGCTGCTGCATTCCAGCAACAGCAAGACTACTTGATGATGTTGTCACCTTCCATGGATCCCATCTTTGTGGATCAACCACGACAACAGCATCAACAACAACAACGCAACGCAACAATGACGCGCCGCCGTATTCCCAAGATCCATCGATGCCCTCACTGCACGCACACAAGCAACCGTGCCAATAACATGAAGGAGCACATCTTGACACACGATCCACATCGTCCCAAGAAGTTCGCCTGTCCCGAGTGTGGCAAGCGGTTTGCCCGCAAGCATGACATGAAGCGTCACTTCAAGTCACCTCACTAGAAAAAACTCTATCTTTTACCCCCCCCCCTTTGTTGTATATGTCCCATTCCCTCTTTCTCTATCTTATATATATATGTTATTCTTCTCTTCTCTGTTATATATACTCTAGACATTACATAGCCCTCTCTCTCTTTCTCTTTCACAGCAACAATAATTGATGATGTACACAGTTTTCTCACTTTTTAATATATATATATATAATATAAACAGCTCTTTTCATGCCCACACTCTATAAAACTCAATTCTATCATATAGTAAATGTAATAATAGCTTCCCACTTCATTTCAGCGAAATTATGCTCTCCGATTCGGGATATTGCAGAAAAGAAGGAGCATGAAAAACAAAAAAAAAAGGTCGCTTGTACAAAAGTCTAATGGCTCAATTATTTGTCCGGTCCAAGCTGCTCTTTTGACAATACACACCTTGTAGTTATGTCAAAGGAACTCCATATGGCAAGTAAGACGCAAGGAACGGCCCTGTTACACAAGTGGGCGCTTAGCAACACACACACACACACACAGAGAGAAGAGCACGAGGCTAAATATATATCACGCTTGTCTTCATATCACATGGCATTACACACATACCGTATAGTTATTTGAAATAAACCCTTTTTGATACTGACGCTGTCTGGATCGCCGCCTCATGCACGATCTGGACGAGACAGGTGTGACATTGTCTATGTAGTAATGAAAATGTGACATCATTTGTTGTGGAACGTGCGCTAAAGTGTCAATCTCTAGTGCGTATGTAGTAGTAGTAGTAGTAGTAGTAGTAGTAGTAGTAGTGAACAATGGCAACGTACCAATAAGAAACTGCGATTCATCTTTCTGCAAAGCGGAGTTCTTCGGCTGATCGGATCGAATGAGCCGCACTCCTTTGCAATGAATCCAGCAACACGGGTAAAGTCTTTCGACGCTGATTTGTTGGAGCCTGTTTACCTTTTAGGCTTGCTAAGCACTTTGATATCTGGGGGAGGACACTTTTAACAAACACAGAAAAAAATATGTGATTAGCGCGTTTAGAATGGCGTCATTTTTCATAATACCAGGCACAACAATTGACAATGCAAACCCTTTTTGTTCTTTTTTTTTTAATAACATCGTTTCGGTTGTCCCCAAAGAGTTGAACGTCACAACTCACTATTTGCCTCGCTTCGCCCCCGCGATCATTCACCTTCTAATTAGAAAAGACTCTAATGAAGAGAGCCCTTTTGTGTTCTTCCATGATAGAACACTTTGACAAGTATATACAATGAAAATTGTGCTAAGCGGGTTGGGAGGAGATATTTCCAAAAGAGGTAGAAAGGGGACACAAGGGAGAAGGTTACTATGGAAATATAGAATATTCCGTTTTCCGATTTCAAGCGCAATGTCGTGTTACCCACTCACCCCCCCTCCCCCCGATTCCATAGCAAATGAAATAATGAAATAATGGTCAACTTGGATATTCAGGCAACAAGTATGTTCTCGCGGAAGATGAACAGAGACAAGGGAGCCCTTCATGTTGTTTGACACGAGTTTCGACGGATTTCATATTCTTCCGGTATAAGGCTACTTATACAAGAGGTACATTGTCAAGCACTTGTTGCTATTCCGGCATTACATACAAGACTTTTTATAGTTAAGCTTACAGCAAGAGTGCATAAACTGGTCTTCTTAAATTTATCATTATTATTATGCTCGCTACGTACATAGTTTGAATAGCATGCAACATTATTTAATACACATTTACAATATCAGGTATACCATTTCATCATGCATGTAACAGAGCGACAAAAAAAAAACAGTGGAAAATGAAGAATTTATGCAATGCTGGTTTTGTAATGTACTGATAATGTGTTATCTGTAATGGTCGAAAAGCGCCAAGTTCTAAAAGCTTGATACTTGATCAAGATCGGCTATTACTCATGTCTTTAGGGCAATTTCTACTGGAAGGGCTTTGGAAGCTTGGGTATTAACAATCAAGTGTGTCACATGGAGTTGTCTTTGTATACTTGGCTCTAATTTAGCTCGTTCAGCTATCTCTAATTCTTCTATAGCAGGACCATGATCGTTCCAACCTAACATTTACCATCATTATCGTTAGTAGCTTTACTGAAGTACTTTTCAATCACATTGATCTCGGCTTTGTTTTCGCGGTCTGGCCACGATTGACACTACGAATTGACAATACCCCCCTTACCTACTTTTCTGCATGAACAAGAGTATATCATCTTTTGTTTTCAAGACGTTAATGTACAGTGAAAACCAATCTATTCACCTATTGTTGTGTTGAAAATACACTGCTGCATGCCAGAAGCATTGCACGACATCCCAATGCAGCTTTACCGTGATCTCAAAGACATGTTGATCTTTATCCCTATGATACGGGCCAGTTGCTACGGGTAAAAAGCAGCCTTGGATTAGAGAAGCTAATTCTGTGCTTGCATTGGATCATCATGTTGCCTCATCTTTCGTTTTCTTGGCTGCTGCCAGAAAAAGCTACATCACTGTTTTGTTTAGCACTACTATCACATTGATTTCTCTTGTTTGTGCCGCTGCTGATGCTACACGCTTTGTTCTTTAAAAAAGCACATGTATCTATTTATACACGGTCTATAAGCTCGAATCTCGTCTACCTCTTTTACACCACGTTCGGCCCAAAGGTCGACTGTATCCGAAAATCCAATTGACTCTCGTCTTTTTGGTGTATTTGAAGTTTGTTATGACGGCCAATTCTCAAGTCAGTGTAAAGAAGAACAAGGTTATCTTTTGGCTTTGTTGGATGACAGTTGGGAAGACTGCGTCTTCATTATGGTACTCGCAACCGGGTTCCAGCGCCTTTATTGTTTCTTTTGTTAAAAAATGTTTTCCTTGTTTAACACCAGCGACATGTAGGTGTGTTCATTATGTCCATGTAGCTTTTTTTTTTTTACCATGAATTGGGTCCCACAGATCTCAAGTACTGTACGTATCGATTATCGAGAAATTGTGCTATGTAGCAAAAAAGACTCAATGGCCGGCATCGATGGACATACGTTAAGCTTTTTTTTGTGGTGCAAACCGAGAAGATACCATACCGTACCTGAAGACTCACGCGGGTAACAGAAAGTTCGAGGGAACAAGCACAGTGTGTGGAACGGTAAAAGACAAAATTCGTTGTTACGCAAAACATAGTGGGACTAATAGCAACAAATTCCTTTATTATAAAAAATATAAAAGAGGAATCATAGCGCTATGTATATACGATAATGTGAGCTACATACTCGAATAGATCCCTCCATTACCGCGAAGGTGGTCACTGCATTACCTTTTGTATCGTGTTTTTTATTTTTCCACCATGAAATTTGACTATAGTCGTTTAAGCGGAGGAAAGTATGGCCTTATACATGACATGAGGAAAAAGATAGTGGATAGTGTCTTAAAGAGGTAGAGAGGGTGCACAAGAAAGAAGGTTGATGTGGAAACTGAGAATGTTCTGTTGTAGCTTTAGATATAGTTTGTACCACCATTTCTGCTTCTCCACACATGTTATCCTTATTCATATTCCACTGTGCCCTCATCCAATACATCACCACATTTGAAACAAGACACACTTGCGCCCGTTATATCTCTAATCCCACAGTAAATGGATCCTATTGTATGTAATGTACATATTGAATGTACCATGGCCATAACGATACCAGATCATGCACGTCCTAAGTAAAGGGATAAGAGCTCTTAGGAGGGACCGTGCTCCGTTCTTCTTCCTTTATGTATGTATGTAGCATCGTGTATATCGTGGTATTACAGTTGAAATAGGAAGAAGCAAAAACAAGTAATCCCTGCCTCCCACAATTTTTATATGTCATGACACTATGTTATCATCGACGCACAGTCTTTGCTCGTTCAACAAGACGACGTGCTTCCATTGCCTTATGAATGATGGTGCCTCGCACCGTGCCACGCTTCAGCCGTCTTTTTAATCGTGGCGTATTTTTCCTTCGCTCATCCCGACGATTCTTAACCAATTCGCGCCTCTTGCACAGGTCTTGCTCATTGACCCGTGTGGTCGACGCATACTTGTCATACACAGACTCCATCAGTCTGTGGCAATCGATCATTCGTTTTGGCATATTCTAGTAACATATAAAAAATGTTGATAAACAAAAGCGTTGACAACATCAATAACCCTCTTTCTGATTTACCTGAATCACTTGGAAAATTTCTAGTGGATCATTCACTGCCAATACCTCCCGTTCGTTCATTTTGAAGATTGCTAGTGCGACTCGGAATAGTGCCCGTTGACCCTCACTTTTTATGTATAGTCAGTATGCTGTATGTTTTCCATTGGTATATATGATAAAGATTTACTTACTAGAACAAGCAGTCCCATACACGAAGCACAGACTACCACCAACGTTACCATGCATTTAGTATCACGTGGCCAGGGTGGAACCATCCATACATCCCCTCACCCTTTTTCCCCCTTCCAGCAAACTGTTCATCACCATGCCTCTTCACGATACACGTACCTCGATCGGCAAAATATTGATAAATAAAGTCAAGAACCAATGACTCGTTACGAGGGTCGTGGTAGGCATGCCATTATTACCATCCGCCTCTTCACACTCCCAAAACGACTTCCCACTACCCATGCGATTCCAAACATGCGGGATGCGTTCTGACAGCAACATCATCAGTACTGTCTGATCAATGTTGGCACCCTCCATGGTCACATCGTAAATGTTGGGCGGCAAGATATCTTGTATCAATACGACAAATGTCCAGAATGCATCTTCTTCGTCCATAAACAACAACAGCAGACCAGCGATATAGTTTAAGGATTGGCAGTATCCGATATCAGGGGCGTACAAGGAGAATGCAGAAAGAATTCGTCGAAGTGATTGAATCGCAGGTACGTCGTTGTTGCTGTTTTCTCTCGTTCGACCGTGTTCATTGTTACTGTTGCTGCTGCTGCTTCCGCTACTGCTGCTTATGCTTCCACTCTCTCCTCCTTTTCCCTTATTGGTACTGGGTATAGATTTGAACCGGACATTGTCCGGAAATGTTCGATGTAGATCTAATAAATCATTTCTTTGGAGTGAATTTCCACATAGTGCGTATTATGTACATCCAATGTAGATCCTGTCCCTTTAACTTTGTAAATACAACACGGATCGCTCCTTGTTATGCTACCTCGTTCAATGATATCCAAAAATTCATTTTCCAAACCCATGGCTTCGGCTCGTTCCACGTAGCCTCGGTAAACGCCTGGATTCGCATACTTTTTTGCCTCGGCACCACTATAATGAAGCCATGCTTGTCCACGGAGATCAGGTGGTATTCCTTTACGAATGAATCGCTTGACTATACGAAATAATCATCCATTGTTATCACAAATGAACGCATTGTGCAATGAATAGATGTAAAATTATCAATGGTGTTATTTACATTTACTGCTCGGCTGTGGCCACTCGCCATCATTTTCTGCAATCAGCCGTCGCCACTTTTGTAGTCGGCGATTTACAATGGGCTGGTATGATATTTCAAAGGTGTCCTGTTCTTCTACAGATACCCATTGTGAGCCCTTGATGAACCCGTATTGATCCCTATAAAGAGCATATTTATATTCAGGGTTACACATATTCGAGTAACGATAACAACAACAACGACGACGATGACTTACCTCTCAGTGGATTCATTGTGTTTATTTTTCTGAGGTGCAGGTGGATATGTTGCCTGGCTACCGTCATCATACAACACGGGGGAGCTAGTATTGCTATGACGTCGTTGTTGACTACTGTTATTGTTATTATGGTGGTGTTTGCCTCGTAATGAGAATACACTCTTTTTGCGTGACAAGGTCAATTTGTCCTTGAAAGCGTTGGATATAGAGCGGCTCACACTCGCTTTTGGTACTGGTGCTGGTGCTTGTAATGCCGACGGAGACGGTTGTCGTTGTGTATAAGAAGCAAAAGTCGAGGTATTCTTGGGAGGTAACGGTGGTGGTGGAGAAGACGACGACGAAGTAGAGGGACAATCGTCATTATCGTCGTCGTCATCGTCGTCTTCTTCTTCTTCGTCATCGTCGTCGTCGTCAGAGAATGTGTCCACAGAAGAAGCAACTGATGGCTCTGCATTGACAGTAAGCAATGAACCTGTGGTTGCATTGGCATGGTTTGTGACTTGAGTCTGACCAGCAGATTCGTAATTGAGTGAAGGTGGAGGAGGAGGAAGAGGTCGTCCTGGTGCTTGTGGTGGTCTTTTCTGCTTCTGCTGTTGTTGCTGACTAGTAGGGTTTGGAGATAATAAGCTGTTACTGGTGGTGGTAGTATTGGTGAATGAAGATGATCGTAGTCGAATTCCACGAGGTGTGTTGGGTGATGACTTTGAATCGTCGCGTTTACGGGGTAACCGTACACTCGTGGATGATCGTACCAAAGACGCCATTTGAGCCAGACAAAGAAGGTATAGAAAAGGAAAACAAGAAAGAGAGAGAAAAAGAGAGAGAGAGAGGAGAGGAGAGGAGAGGAAGAGGGGATAGAGTGTTAGGTTTTTGAAGTAAAAGAAAGAAAACTTGAAACTGTTACGCCCTCCTCGTTCACGCATAAATTCTGTGTGTTGGGGGAGGGGGAGGTGTTTTTGCTTAGCGGGCCCTGGAAATTATCATTGCAAAACACATTGTCCACGAGTGGTTCCCATCACTGTGTCGTCCGGGGAGGGAGGGAGGGGGGGGGGGTGACGAACGCAACGGGCAAACGCTTATTCGGCCAGCATGTTTTTCCGAAGGAACACACATAAGCTAATGAACGGGTAGTATTCTCTGCCTACAACTTATATTAAAACAGGCATTCTGTGTACTTTTCAGCTCAATGAGCAGTATATGCTATTGCATAATCCCAATCAGCATCATGGACATTGTAGCTATCATTATCATTATTCATCACTATAACACCGTATTTACATGAGGAGAGGAGGAACACAACCTGCTTGTCAAGGAAAACTATCACGGGCATGCATTTTCTACCTCACCATTGACAATCATTGAGCATTTTGTATAACATATTAGAGACTCCGACATATTGGCAATCTGCTTTTTGTTGTTGATCATTCATCAATCGAGCCACATTTGCTGATACAGTATGTAGAAAGATTAGAAAAAGAACGAACCGTCTTGCCATGCATATATAAATGATGTATGGAGGTGTTCCTTTCTTTTTTATCCTGTAAGGCGTATGGTAGTGCTGCGTGGCAAAAATAACAAATGAAAGGCCCACTCTTTGTTTGTGTAGTGTTTTGATCAGCATACAAAATTACCTGATTAGTATATGTAATTGCTGTAATAGTGTATGCATACAGCCACACTATTTATATTTTCACCGTTTCCTTTCTATCGCTGTACAGAGCGAGACAAAGTTCATACATAGACATTCTTAGTCCTCCTGACATTCATGAAGTGACTGTTATTACAGAACATAGGCTTGTGGTACGAAGAATATACTATTAATGTAGCCATGTGCTTGCTTTTGATGTAATTTCTAGTGTCGACACACTGAAACAGGCACAAAGTAATAATTTAAGGTTAAACATGGTGTCATTTATTTATTACTATTTGTGTGCTTTGCATGTATGTTTAGAATTAACAGTAATCGTAAAAAGAGCAACCTTTGAATAAATAAAACGTTAGAGTATGGTACTGTATCAATTAAGGTTCTTACTCATGATCCAAGTACAATCTGGACCAGAATCGCTGCTGAATAAGTGCGGCCTTAAATTCGTCCTGGATGCTGCTAGGTGATTCGCCAGTAACAACACCATCCTGATTACTGTTCTTCTCTCCCAGTGCGGAATCAACAAACTTGACACCTTCACCACTGGCAGCGATTGGTTTGCAATGACGATAGGCCTCGACAATAAAGTTCTTGGGTTCTTCATAGGGGAACTCGGAGAGATCGTTCATGAGGGTCTTGATACCTTCCTTGCCACCGGGAACGTAGACAGCATCATAGAGCACCGAAGCTGTGTGCAAATAAGTCGTGGTAATGTTCAAGCCTTCTTGATCGCCGAGATTGATACCAACAAAGCTAGGGTAGGCGCCTTGCTCAGTGAGGTAGTCAAACATAGCACTGGCTTCATCCGTGTCAATGCCAGGTGCAGTAAGAATAGCAACGGTACGTGTCTTGATATGAGCGGGCTTGGGATACTCTTCCATGGAAATGCCGACGGAGGTCTTGTTATCGTTGTCGACGACTTTTTCGGGCAAGGGAACATTGATACGCTTGGCAATACGACGAGCGAGATCGTTGTCGACATTGTTGATCACGGTAATCATGCGCTTGCGGACATCGAGCGATTTCGACTTGCCGATTTCGAAACGGAGACCATCGATCATCTGTTGCTTTTCGGCAGGCGTGAGCGAGTTATAATAAAGACGGGCTTGGGTGTAGTAGTCAAAGAACTTGGCGGACTTGCCACGTTGCTTGACGCCACCCATTTTTTCGGGATAGTCAATGTAGCCGCCCTGGTCAGCTTCGACCATGGAAGGTGTGTTGTCTTGCAAGCCGTTGGGGTAATAAGCGACTTTACCCTTGTGCACGTTTTGCTGCATGTATCCATCACGTTGGTTGTTGTGGACCGGGTTGACGGGGCGGTTGATCGGGATCTGCATAAAGTTGGCGCTGTTCATACGGTTGATCTGGGTGTCCAGGTAACTGAAAAGACGGCCTTGCAGTAACGGGTCGTTGGTGAATCCAATACCTCGGACGACATGGCCTGGATGCATTGTGATTTGCTCGGTTTCCGAAAAGTAGTTCTCGACGTTGCGGTTCAATGTCAGTTTGCCCAAACGTGTGACCGGGACAAGCGATTCAGGAACAATCTTGGTAGGGTCGGTCAGGTCAAAGTCATACTTGTCTTCGTCTTCTTCGGGGATAATTTGGACGCCCAATTCCCATTCGGGATAATCGCCGTTGTTAATGGCAGTGTATAGGTCGTTACGGTGGAAATCAATGTCCTTGCCACACACCTTTTGGGCTTCGTCCTATATAATAAAACGAGATTACGCTATTTAGTGCAGATGTTCATCTCGTTTTCTACTTGGCTGTATACTACTTTACCCAAAGCATGTTGGAAAGGCCTTGTAATGGCTTCCAATGGAATTTGACAAAGTGAGAGACACCCTCTTCGTTGATCAGTCGGAAGCTAGAAGAAGATCAATGGTGATGGCAAGAAATAGGAGTTTAATATGCGGTTAGAGTCAAGTGCTTGTTTGGGATGCATACTTTATGCAGCAAAAACAAGAAATAATGCCCTTACGTATGAACGCCAAAGCCCTCAACTTGACGGAGACTGTTCGGGATACCACGACCACTCAAAGCCTGAAAGTAATATATGGAGTTTGTTGTTATTAAATGTTTTTCATAAGCCCACAAATTCATACCCACAAAGTATATATACAACTCCAAGCCTAAAACTAAAAATGGTAAAAGAGAATAGAACATACCCAAAAGACAGTGTGAAGAGTTTCGGGGAACTCTGCAAAAAAGTCATAAGCAGTTTCATGAGCTGTACCGGCCTGAGGGGTTTCAGTGTCCGGTTCAGGTTTGCCAGCGTGGATCAAATCTAAAGATATAGTACAAAGTTAGAGTTTTATTTTTTCAACGGATTTTCAAAATAAAGATTCGACATACCAGGAAACTTCATTGCATCTGTTTTTTGTTTGTTTGTATGTTTGTTTGTCCGCCATGATAAATATGCAGTCAATAACTCTAATCGCTCTTGATCTACACCGACCACCCCTTTCTCCCCCACCGAATAGAGATCAACAACACTACGGGCGGAGAGAAAACTTACCGTGCACAAAGAATGGAGCAATTGCGTTACCCACTGAAGAAGATTGAAAAGTACATGTTTAGGGCTTTGGTTAAGGAACCAATATTCTCGTTTTAAAAGCCAACGTCAACTACTCACCAAGATCGAATAAACCTTCTTCGGTGTAGAAGCGAGTAGCAAAGCCGCGAACATCTCTGACTGTATCGGGAGACCCACGAGATCCAAGCACAGTTGAAAACCGCACAAACACAGGCGTCTTGGTACCTGGTGTACGCAAGAACTTGGCAGCAGTGATATTGGACCAGTCAGTATACGGCTCAAAATCACCGTGAGCACCGACACCGCGAGCGTGAACAGCGCGTTCAGGGATTCTAGACGTTTAAAGAAGAAGTTTAAGTTTACATACTATATTCGGTTTGTAGAAGCTACAACGAGAAAAGCAAAAGTAGCTGTACCTTTCATGATCTGCGCATGATTCGTATTAAAAGTGACGACAAAAGACGTTGATGCGTTAAAAGTTGTTAGTTGTAGCATGGAGTATGTAGTAACTAAGGAATGAAAAAAATAATAGATAAAATCTTTTTTTCTTACCAAAGTGCATAATCTTTTCACGCATCATAAAATCTTCAAGCAAGGTTGGACCACGCAAGCCAGCTTTCAAGCTATCCGTATTGTTGATGCGTTGACCAAACTGGGTCGTTTCTTGTTGGCCGGCGTTGCTAATAGAAAACTGTTCCATTTGGGCAGCCTTAGGGTCATCGCCTTCGGCTTGACTGTTGAAAGCGCATGATTCATCTGCAAATGCTGTTTGTTGAACAGCAAGAGCAATGCTGAATAGTGTACCAAAGATAACGGTTCTCATTACGAGTGAGGGGGGAGGTTTGGAGGATAGATGGCAGTGAAGAGGTGAAAGAGAAAAAAAACGCCCAGGAAATATGTTTGTTCCTGGAAAGGTCTTCTCCTTATATGCGCGTTAGAAAGTGGAAAAGCGGGACTGTCGACATCATCATTATAGTTAGTTATTAGCAGCAACAGCAGCAAAGACGAGATAATGCGCGGGTAACCTCGTTGGTCTGACTTTAATGAAACATTGTAAAGTCTGTGTGTGTGTGTACTTATTGCATTAGCGCTAAGTATATAAAAGGAGCGGCATGACCCGAACCGGGATTTGGCGTTATTTGTGCAATCCAGGAGTTTCTCCCTAATAATGTCACCGCCACATTTTTTTTCTCTCTCAGATGAGAATGTGCCAGTGTGTTGCTGGATGTTTGGAATTCTAGCGCTTATTAAGCCAACAAAGATTGGTCCACATTTGTTGTACAGGTGGACAGGATAAACCATTCCGCCTTTGTTATTACATTAGTGTGTTTAAACCGACTGGTCTTTCAGATCATTGACTGGGATGATGAAGAAACTCATGCGACATGATTGGATAGTAGATGTCTTAGTAAGAGACGGGAATTGGAGTGGAGTGGAGTCGGAATATTTCGCATAATAAATGTTCTTTGGGAGAAAGCGCTTGGGTCGATCCGGCACTGAAAGTTACACAGCGTGACAACGACGACAAATAAAAAAAAAGTTTTCTGGATTATTCGTTGAAAAAAAAATTGCCTGACCTTTTTGTATCTATCTACCTGACAGGTTTTCATGCTCGGTCTAGAATTTCATTGGAAAAATTCAAGGGCTATCATATTATCATTATCATTCGTTTCTTTTTTGTGGTTTTGCTGATAGGAAGTCGTGATGTAAATGTTGAGAACAGCAAGAAAGCCAGACACGCACGCAATCTCCTACGCTACTTTACAAGACTGCCCTGCCCTCCTGTCAAACTGTACAAGAAAAGTTTCATCATGTAATCAGCCACCACTGTTTCGATATAAGCATTGAATGTCCTTGCTATTGGCAATATATTGTAAAGGCCTATATTGCTCAATAGACCGACTATTGTATCCAAGCAGACGGGTGGTAACTTCCCTGCTGTTGATTCTCCGTTCTTTTTTTCACTTGGGTCCGTGGAAACAAACGGGAACTTAAATTCTTACGTGAGCATACAGGGTTGCTCCTTAGCCAATCAAAATCGCTTCACTCATACTTCGTTTCCAGGTTACACTGAGCTTTTTGAAGACTCAACACAAGCAGTTACTGCAACCGTCATGTAACTAATCTTGTTTCCGGTTCCCATGGATACTGTATTATATCCCCGATTAAACCATCCACAAGCAGATGAAATGTAATTGAGACTATTCCCGATTCGAAAAACAAGGCCAGTGCATCTGTGAATTACAGAAAGAACTAGAATGACAAAGTATCTGATGTGTGATAGCCCTCTACAAGAACAACGATCTGATGGTGTCCACTTTCACACCTATGATGTCTATTTGAAGTGGTTATTCATTGGGTGAAATAATATCATTTGTTGCATATAGTATATCTTGGTGGAAACGGTTTAGCAGAATCTCACCGAACAAAACCAGTGGTGGTGGCACATACACTCGTGCAAACTGGTCGTTGATCTATGTAACACATTGTGGGGGTTATACCATAGAACTTTTCAGTTTCATCAGCCCTGTAACAAGTATAAGCTCATCTATTGGAGAGGTTGTTTGAGCGCAAAAATTCGATCACAATACTTGTCTACAGTAACCTGCTGCTCCAAATATTACGAATGGTGAAGAGCGGCGGCTGCCACAGAAGATAGACGTTTCTTAGATGAAGTTAATATAATTTTGATCATCAAGGGCAAAAAGCTAGTAATGCTTATTTATCTTTAATCAAGTTTAAATTTGAGCTTCAAGGAGCTAGTGCATTTGAACCTGCTTATGCACGTATGCTGCATGGTTCGAGTTTATTGTTTGTCAAAAGGGATGGAGATGGGCAACAGCACAGTATCGAATATACGGCCAGCACTTTTAGCGTTACGCATAACGCAAAATCAATTGATAAAACAGCGCGAACAAAAAGGTATCGTGTGAAATTCTCACGTTTTGTTCACCCAAATACAATATAACCTTTTGACATGTTCGCCATCAGACAAGTAAGTAAATGATAAAACAAGCCAAGTTGCCATCCATACATTTATATGTATTACAAGTGACAAAAAAATATAACTGAAATGACTAGGCTGCACGCAATGCATCTATCCGACACCAACCATTGACCCGCTCATTCACTGTGGTAACGTCTTTTTTTGTTGTCAATCCGGTAATGGAAATAAACAACGCTAACTATATATCCCGGGGCTTCTTCCTCCTAGACGTCGATCGCCTTGAGCCGTTGGACTGATATGGTGAAGAAGACAAAGAACACGATTGGCATTCAGGAAATCACCGTGGACGAACTCAAAAGCGAGCTGGGTGCTGCTGAAAAGCCTGTTATCATTGATGTTCGAGAAGGTGGAGAAGTGCAACGTGGCAAGGTATGGAAAACGGCTGAAAACGTATTTCATTGAGTTGGCGAATCGATTAAATGTGGATTGTGTTACACTCTCTCCCCTCTCTCCCTACAGATCCCAAACGCCGTGTGTTTGTCGCGTGGTGTGCTTGAACTCGGTGTTGAAAAGGTTGTGACCCCAGAATCGGATACGCCTATCGTCGTCTACTGTGCTGGTGGTCTCCGTAGCATTATGGCTGTTGAATCGCTCGTGCGGATGGGTTATGATAATGAGAACATCAAGAGTTTGAAGGGTGGTTTCGAAGCATGGAAAAAGGGTGGAAACTCTGTTGAAAATTAGAAAGAAAGACCAAGTGTATTATTATTAATTTGTACAAAAGTTGTTTTATGGAAGTGCAGATTGTGCGTATTGTACATTGCTTTGGTGTGCGTTAATACTGAAATTGCAAGGGACAAAAAGAAACGGGCCGAATTACATGGCATAGTTGCTACTTTACGATATTAATCCCAGTTTTCGAGCATCTTTTGGATCTTGTTCTGTGTAAATTATCATATAATGTATTATTAGCGAGACATACATGAGCAAGACAATGTTTTCGTCTTTTGGCAAACTTACGATATTGGGATCATCAATGGCTGTATCATTCAAACTTTGTAGAAGACACTCCTTCAAACGATCGGTGACTTGGATGTTTTGGAAAATAGCAGCATCAGCTGGTATCGCCGATAGTTCATCAAGTACGATTTGTCGCTTTTGAGCATTTTCAGAGTGAAGGCAATCCAGTAAAGGGAAAATGATCCGAGCTTTTTAGTTATTGTTTTTGACATATCACTACTAAGTTAGTCCGTCATTCGAAATCCATTGTTCTTTCATACTCTCCAAAAAAGGGCTTACCATTCTCCAAAGTGTCCTTGTTTGTATAATGCGCGATCAAGGTAAACAAAAGCTTCAGGGCAGAGGCACTCGTCTCATTGTCTGCAGTGTGAATAAAAGGTGCCACCAGTGTATCCAATTCTGGTGGTACTCCTTGAAAGCAGCGATGCCGCAAACCGGTACGTATACAATCAAGTAATGATGTGTGATACGCTTTGGACATTTTGATATCCAAACTGAAACTACGCAGTCCCGGTATAAAAAGCATCATGAATAGGGAATCACTCATATCGGCCAGAGACAGATGATGACGAGCTTCGGGCATACGAAAGAGCAAGGAGATCATATCCATACAGCTAAACATTTATAAATCAAATGGTCAGCGATAGTTATTATACACTTTCATCGGCTTTTTTACTAGCTGATCCTATTCAATCAACCAGAGCTAAAAAAAATACATACCGCGCCCGAACACCCACAGAGCCAATGTCTCTCGATTTACCCCGTCCCGCATCCTTTCCGGCAGATCCAAGTAATATCATCAAGCTTCGATATCCGTTTTGATTTAATGGTGTATGGGGCCCAATATAAGAGACCGCAATTTCCAACATCTTGAGCTCAATGGATGTTTCTGTCCATTTGGAAGGAGGATCCGATCGGTTTTTACGTTCAAAAAACTTGAGCAGTCCAGGCAAGCACAATTGTAAAGTATCTAGTACAGGAAAAGTTTGCTGATGCTGCTTTGACGATTGCTCGTAGCCCTGGATTGCTTGGTTGACCTCTTTGATGACCAGGGTAGAGCCAAGATTGGATAGAAACGTGTCGGCCATTGCAACGTGGCCAACATTTTGTCGGATTGCTGAGGCTGCACACAGTGTCAGGCCTAGCCACGCAGTACGTGTGCGCAGCTCAACAGAAGTATCACGCGTAGGAACTACTTGCATGAGCGTCTTCAAGAGCCTTGCTGCTTCAAGAATGAGTTCTTCGCTTTCGATGAATTCGTCACGAAGGTAACGTGCACTTTGCGCTTCCAATATCATCGTGATATCAGATTGTGAAATGGCACCGTGTTTTGCACCCGATATCAGCTCTTGAAGTATAATCGTGCTAATGGTGATCCCATCGGTCCCAAGGCATAGTGTTTCTGCGTGAAGGAGGTCGTTTTCGTCGAATCGTTTCAGCACATATGATATGTACATGCCATCTGGTATGCGTTTTCCTAGCATCCTTACTACTTCTTTGACCTGGATATACGTATATGTAAGTTATACTAACACTGATATTTCTCTCTTTTTTTCTATGATTTATGCGCCATCTTTTCGTTTGATGTGAACTTACTTTGTCCATAACCATATTCTCGCCTTTGGCGTTGCAATAAAGAATAAACATGTGGTCAACAAGTCTTTCTAAAGAGCAGACAACTTGCTCTTCGCGTGAATCTTTGACCATTGCAAGCATCACACTCAGGTTTCTTATCCGGCGGTTCGCATCAAGCTTTAGCGTTTCTTGAATAAGATATTCCAAACATTTGCTGAAATATTTTTGTACAAGATTTTGAATTCCTACAATTATAGATGTTTAAAAAAAGCCCATACTTGCTTCAATATTATATTACCTAGTTGACCACCACTTGGTTTACCATATTCCGTTTCTTTTAGATCCGACCATTCACCGGCTGAAACCTTTGTGGTAGCATGCTCGCATCCAATTTCATAAAGTGTGGCTCGACTGGCCTGGTTTATGGTGTCTATCTCGTCCATCGTACATGCAAGTAAGAGCGGTAGTAGGATCGGGGCATATTTGTCTTGCTGCAGTGGTGCCATGAGTTTCATCCATGTTTGGACTACACTCGAGAAAACGTTTCGTACGTCGAATGCGCTATCATGCACGAGTGCTGGAAATATTGCTTCGCGGCGCGCAATTTCATCGTATTCGAGTAGCACGGGTACACTATCTGGCACTGCGAGTCCTATTTGTCCTGCAGCCTTTTTTGTTGTTGTTATAAAAAAGAAACAACGTTTCAATGGCTGTGTATACGAAAAAGGAGATACAACAAAAAGGGTTCCTTACCCGAAGGCCAGTTATTCGGATGCCAGAGTGCTTGTGATAAAGTAGAGGCATTGTCATCTTCATGGATCGTTGTCCGGCAAGCGCGATACCCTTTGGACATTTGCTGGCTAACTCAAAAAGCAATTCTCCAGCCCCCTTTTGCACCTCAGGACAGGCATCATCTAATGCCATTTTGGTCATATCCAGCATACGGTCAACGTTGACGGCTCCCATACCGTCCAGTCGATCCAGCTTCGTTAAAATACCCAAAAGCAAAACGATCCATTTTGTTCGAATCTCCTCTACTGATTCGATGAATTCAAGTGACCTGCCAGCACGTTCGTGTCGTAGGCGATTTGATGCAAGCGTAAGAACTTTTGATATCAGAGAATCGGATAGTATTGCATTTTGAATAAGCCTACATTTAATCACCAGAAAAGATTTCAGTTTCGGTAACCCAGCCCAAAAGGGCAAGAGAGGAGAGACAAAGATGAAAAGACTTACAGTGTGGCAAGGGTAACTCCTTGATCTCGAACATATTCAATCTTGCTTTCCTCCCAACTGGAAATCTCGGGTAACAATTCTTCCAAAAGAATGGAAAATTGAGTGGGCTCGCGATCGCGGGAAGCAATGTTGTTGATCAAGCTTTTTAAGGAATCGATTGCTTTTTTCTTGTCAAGCCGTTTGAGTGTTGAAGGATCCCGTAATAAAGTAAGCTATTGGTTATAAGAATTTGTTTAGGTGCTAGCTTTAAGAGCTATACAAATTCCAAAGGAAGCTATACTGACACTAGGATTGAATTCTCTCAACTCATCAAGACATTGTTTGCGAAGATCGGGACCTTCACAGTTTTCCATTCTTGGAAGCGAAAGCGGTCAAGCGTGCTACACGATGACAATAATTTTGTCATATATGCATGGTAACACAATAAGAAATGCCGGCAAGCATAGCCGCACACCCATACACTTCCGTTCAAGCCTGTTACCTTGTGCACAGCTTTCTCTTAGAAATTTCAAAACGAAAGCTTAGAATGAGCTAGCATTCAGCTCAAAGGTATGGGACCTACACATGCTGCGATTTTTTACATACTAATATGCGTGATGGTTATTCAATCTAAACGATTGTAGCTACATGTTTTTATTTCAGTAACGTGTTCCTCATTCAGAAATGTAGATGCAGGATACATACTTTTCAGATGCCACGTGCGAAAGAGGTGAGGAAAAAAGAGAAAAGTGTAATAGGAAAAACCATCTATAGGAAGAAACTGCACACTACCCACCACTACCTGCAACTGCCTTATTCTAAAACGGGGAAAGAAAAGGCTGGCCAGTCGAAACGACATGGAGGTGTATCTCCAAGTGATAAAACATTGTTGTCAGGGTACGTAGTAGAAATCAGAAAGCACAGACGTCGATCGGTGACAAAGCTTACAAGCAAAGATAGGTGACACAAAGTGCAAGCGTGCCATTCAGATGAAGCCTCGGACGGGAGCGACCGAACATGCTAAAAGTACAAAAGGGAACCTCGGATCCGGCATTAGTACGATGTTTGTCCAAAAACTATACACAATAGAATACACATATACGATGAGCAAAGCAATCCGAGTATTGACAGGTATGTAACCAGCCAGTCAAAGGGGGGTGGGGGAGATGGATACGGGATAAATTATTAAATCCTTGACTCTTTACCTGCAGTTGGAACTGGTGCTGTTGGAAGTGTTTACAGTTGGCGCTTAGCTCAATCGTGCCAGGTTACTACCGTCTGTCGATCCAACTATGAAGCTGTCCGTGACAATGGCTTCAGTATGGAATCAGCCAAGTTTGGCAGAGACATATTCCGACCTCACAATGGTAGCTACTTGAAAACTAGACATCACTAGCGAGCCCTTTATTGCGGGACTGTTCGAATTGGTACCCATTTATTGACTGCAATGACATTTGATTATAGTTGTATCTAGTGTAAAAGAAGCAGTTCAACATGGCCCATTCGACTATATTCTCGTCACGCTCAAAGCTTTACCCGATGTATACAACGTTGCGGAAGTGATTGCACCTGCAGTCAGTGACAAAGAAACGGCCATTGTGTTGATCCAGAACGGCTTGGGTGTTGAAGCACCACTGTTGGAGCGTTTCCCTGACAACCCGTTGATTTCTATTGTCGCTTACATTGCCACCCTTCAAGATGGACCGGGCCGGACGCGGCACTTGGGTGGCGAAAGCTTAAGAATGGGTATCTTGGATGCCAAGTCAGAGCCCAAGGCACGCGAGTTCCAAGATCGGTTTAAACGCGGTGGCGTCAGTGTTGAATGGACAGATAATATCGAGCAGACACGTTGGGAAAAGGTGTTTTGGAATGGAGGATTTGGGCCTGTGTGTGCTATCCTTCGATTGGATACCACCGAGGTAACCCGGAATGAAAAGGCGCGTGGTATGGTCAAGAGATTGATGGTCGAGTTGATGACCGCCGCTGAACTTGCCACTGGGATGGACTACGAGCCCGAGTACCGTAGCGAAGCAATGATCGAAAACACAGCGCGAGGCCACAACCATTACAAACCATCCATGTAAGTCTTTCTTTAGCTATCTGTTTCGACGTCCTTTCTTGGTATCATCCTTGTTTATTTATTGAAGGTTTACTAATGTATATAATGTTTTGATAGGCAATTGGACATGGAGCGTGGTAATCCTTTGGAAGTAGAAGTGGTCTTGGGTACAGCGATGCGCAGTGCAGCTCGGAATGGCCTTGTAGTCCCCACAATCCGCACCATCTACGATCTGTGTCGAGCCATGAATATCCATTTTGTCAATCAATAATGGACAAAATTGACGGTAAAAATAAATCAAAAGGTCATCCATAGACAATTATAGTCGCGTGGGTCCACCCCTTGCTCATATGCCTTGTTCACTCGATACGTCCATTCTGCTTCTTGTGCATTCGATAACTGGTTTGTAGGATGGTTGGTGAAGGCCAAAAAGACTGTCCATATCGGCAGGATGTTGCGTGCATACCAATAATGAAACTTATCGTACGCGACCTATATAAAAAAAACCAGCATAATACTGGATCAGCAATATATCCTACCAGTACATTCATTTCCTTTGTAACCGCACAAAAACTGTTAATAACCTTAACACGGGGATCGATGAATATACGGGTATAATCCAATGCGCGCAGGTCGGTAAAGATGAGGCAGCACTCGGATGCTTCCGCAGCTATATCTGGCTCATCTGGTGCAACCGCACGAAATTCCACTTGATCCTGTGCAAACGGTTTGGCATTGAATGCCACAATCCCGTTCCAGCAGCTGTAGACAGGCACCAGATCGGACGCTCGCAACAGTTTTTGGCTCGTTTCATCCGCGAAATAAGGATAATCACCCGAAGCCACCCATTTTCCATCCACTTCACGAGAAGCAAACATATCATAAAACTCGCCATAAAAGTCCTATTGTAAACCATATACGTATTAAGTCTTTTTACCATTTTTCCCGGACTCTCTCTCTCTCTCACTATTCCTTTCAATCTTACCATTCCGCATACGGCATCATAATCTCCATCTCGAGTTGTGAGCAATCGAATAGCGTCTTGAACGTCAAATATAATATCATTGAGGTAAAGGATCTTGTCAAAGTGTCCAGCTGATTGCGAATGCAGTGGCTCCAGTGACAAGTTGCGGATCTCGGCAAGTTTAGTTATCCGGCGATTTTTGCCTGTTGTGTTCATTCTGGAGCTAACGCTGTTTGCATCGTCGAGTACAATCTTGTTTTGTATACCGGCATCAGTAAGTTTAACTTGCCAGTTTCCGAGCAATTCTTTGGTTTTGTCTTGACTTCCTGGAAAAAGGATAAACAAATAAATACGTGTCAAGTTTCTTTCGGTGTGGGCGATATTGTTACAACGAAAAAAGCTTTCTTACCATTCTCATATACAGATATAAAGGTTCGCGAAGGGCCAGCCCACGCTACCAAACGTTCCACTTGTGTTGTCCAATGGTCGAGTATCGGCTCACTGTTGCGTAGTGCTGCCACAATGAATATTGACGGCCGATATTCTTCTTTGTGCCTTGCATAACGTCAAGTTCTCGTTCAGTAAAATCAATCAGAGTTGGCTTCCCACAGTTATGAACAAAACTCACTGTTGCTGGGTAACAGTAGTAGTTGCTACCATCAAGTGCTGCTGAATACCTATCGCTGTGAGAAACAAAGCCAGCAGCGTAACAATCAATATCCGTCGTCGTCTTCGAAAAAATGTAATCATTTGAATGCTCATATAAAAAAAAAGGGCCAAGAAGAAAAAGATGGGAGTTCCCCCTCTTCACTTCGTTGGATCAAAACCCCCAATCCCTCGCGCACAGCCTTACCATGTTACACAAAAAACTAACATATATGGTAAAATTTAGAATTTGTGATCATGGTTTCAGCAAGGAAAACTGCACTGGTGAAAATTGACAGTGGTGTTATTTAGCTTTGAAAAACCTGCCATACAATACTCGGCATAGGAGGATTGAAGCTAGTTTTCTTTTCTCGCCGCTTCCAATCTTGAGACAGGTTTGGATGTAGTTTTTCTTCCCAATAGAGTGCTTACACCATCAAGTGATTTCAATTACCGACTAGAAACCAATTGTTTGCGGATTGGCAGATATACCTTTTATTCAAAACCTTTAACCGTAATATATATATATATATAGACTTCTAAACAAATACTTTGCATTTTTCGAAGCTCTGATACTAAGTTTTCTTGGAAAATGCAAATTTAGGTTTTCGACAAAGTCGTCAAAGGAAACGAGGTTTAGGATGTGTAACATAATTGCTGTCAGTGTTACACACGGTCAGCTCAAAGGATACTGGCTTATGGCTACTAATGCAATACACATGTTTGTTAATGATATTTCCAGTCATGTACAGGGGATCCTCGTTAATTTCGTAGTGGCATTTCCGTGAAATTAAGCAGGTATGAAACACGGATTACCGCTTCTCAGGATGAAGTTGTCGCTTTAAATTTCACGTAAATCACAAATACATATGTATTTCTATATCTTGCAGTTTCTCCTGCCTTTTCTCTTTCTTTTCACTTATCTTGGACACTTTTCTCATTTGAATGCGTCTTTTATGCGTACAATATGAGTAAATTACTATGAATCAACACCTTAATCTAACCCCTTAATGCGTACAACCCAGTTCCATGCCTTGAAAGTAAAAAACAGAACAGGGATGTGTTTCTACCATTCCCAGAAAATTTCGGAGAGTGAGATTTAACGAACATGAAATCGACGACAGGAATCATTGTACCTGGAAGGAAAATAGAGAAGGCCAGAAGTTCAAATAAATGTACTATTTAGGGATTAATCAAACTATTTTGCAGAATACTTACTTACACATCATTTGACGCCATCATTAAAGTGTCACAGTCTATTCACCAAATACACATATAGTATATTGCTAGTCACGAGGTTTTTGATCTTATCAGCATCTTTATGGCCAGGAAATAAGATGCTTCATATCATATCTGTGGCGTTCTTGATCAGACTTGTCAATTCCGGTTCCGTGATACTGTATCATACCAACCAGCCTGGATAATTATACAGTCTATATGTACAATATTATTTTCGCAGATGCCGTTACTTCCGAGAATGACCAGCTCGAGGCTAGAAGCGGTCCACTATTTTTTGAGGATGCCAATGCTTATACAAGCTCCTAATCAATGTTCACTGAGTGGTCATAGAGTATGATAGAGTGCCGCTTTTGAGTATCAAAGATTAACGAAACAGGTCTGCTGTCATGTGATTAAAGTAATGGGCATTTAGTATATGAAAGAAGGTTTGATAAGTATATACGAAATAAGCTTTCTTGTCGATGAAATTTTGTTTTGTGAAGCCGTTATAAACTGTTAGCTTTGGTAGTAATGACTGGGCACCCGTAGCACGTTGACGTTAAAGCAAGGTCCCAGGACAACTGCCAGCAAACTAATGGCACCTTAGAGTAACCGCTTTACGTCTTCGCACAGTATTATGGAAACGTGCTGGTCCAGATACATATAGTAAGAGAAGCGGTGAAAACAGCGTCACAGCTTTGGAGCAATCAGGACAGAATGGGATGCAATTACTGAAAAAAAAAACTATCGTAGAGGAAACGTTATGCTGGCGTCAGATAATACTATAAGTGTAGATGGTGAAGTACAATATATAGAGAGTGTGTATGAAGGGGTTTGGAACGACAGAGAAGAACAGCGCCAACGAAGGTAATGGTGGTAGCTGCAGGGCTTCCTCTGGAACTGGTTTGTCGTCGTCATCGTTATAATTACCAACAGAAAGATTTAAGCAGTCTTGCTCCCTGAAGACGCAGATAATTAGCGCTGGCCAGATCTTTGCCATTTGCCACACGTTATAGGCCGGAATGTACTTATAATGTTGCCGCTGCGGTATACGTTTTGACATAGAGTAAGCACAAACATGTTCTTATGCTGCAGTAGAATACTTAAAGGCCGACACCATGTTGTTTCAAATACAGTTAAAGTATATACGCCCTGAATCCCAATTTTGACCTTTTACTGTACTGTACATATCATGCAAAACAAAGACGCTGGAAATCCTTTATACACTCAGTCGATTAACACTGCATGAAAATGGCTCTTTGTGACACTTCAAACAGCCATTCACTTTCACTGTTCAGGGAAATTGTTGAATAGAATAAGGGAGACCTACGGCTGCTGTGGCAAAGTCATACGAGTAGCCACTCGCGTTAGAAAGAACACAAAAGCATTTGTCAAATTGCATCCTCGATAAGAAAAGATTTTCTCTGTTTTTTTCTTCTTCTACGTATACCTTTGAAGGATGATTGTGGAGAGTTATACTACCACTGTCACTACTTCAGACATATAATACTCATAGTCATTACGCTCGAAGGACACGTAAAAGAATGCTTTTCATACACTGACCAGGGTTGTGGCAAGCTTAATATTTTGATTATCCACCTGCCATGGAGTGATTTGCCTGCTTTTATATCCTCTTCAGTATTCAAAATATTGCGGTAGTAGCACTTGCTGCTTGCTAATTCTCACGTAAGGACGATGTGTTAGCGGTGCCAAGTGACGATCATTGATGAATTCCTGACAGTTATTGTCAACTGCGTGCGTTGCTTTCCCCTTTTTCCCTTGTACGAAAACAATCTGCAGTCAATGATACCCTCTTTTTTATGCTGTCAAGATATTACACGAAGGAGCATGCATTCCGTGCAGTTTTGCAAATGTCTGTAACAATGGACGATGAATAGCAAAGGAATGCAGCCGTACAAAAAAAAAGTACACCTCGTCAAAGCTCGTTTCCACCTTATATGATAACATTCCGGGAGTTTCCGAAACGATTCATGCAGTTGGCTGTTGTGATCTCCGCAATGTGCAAGTTACTTTTTCCGCAGCATGTGTAACATACGCGTGCTTTGAACGCTCTTTCTTCCTCTTCCCACTATTCACTTTGCTCCCGTCCTCACTACACATTTAAACACTTTACAAGCATGAAAGTTGTCGTCGACACACCCACTAACAACAAGCATAGCGTCACCACCAAGATGAAAACGGATGACAGCGGACGGGTGAGTAAGGTGACTATTATCGTAAAACGTCACCGACACCCTCGCAACAACAGTAGCAATAGCAATAGCAATAGCAACAGCAACGCCAACGGCAGCAGCAATATCGCTGACGGTGAGCAGCAGCAAGTCCAACCCGAACAGCCGCGCGAAAAAGAAGCCACTTCTTCCGAGATCTGGCGTCAAGTCGACCGTGCGCTTGACGCCTACGCAGAAGAACGAGGCCGCCTGCTCGCAGCCAACGTTGAAGAAGACTCTGCTTCTTTCAACTTGAATGCGGAAATGGCAGGCCTCGCTGCGTTGTTGTAAATAGTCTGTCTTTCCTCCCCTTCTGTCTCCCCACCCTCGCATGTATGATGTCTTCTTCCTCCCTTCCCCCAGCCCCAAAATTATATTTCTGATTATAAAAACATATTTTTTTTAAAAAAAGCACTGAGCTGCAAAAACGCTTTAGTTCATAATCTGTGCGTTTTTACCATGTCTGTGAGTAGAGATAAGAAAGGTTTACCACTGGCTTCCTAACTGTAAAAGTTGTGGTTGTCATTACCGACTATGGAATCTGTCAAAGTTGAATGCCGTTTGGAACAACATTTCGAACGGTGGAGATCTCTCAGTTGATGTTGCTCCTGTTGGGTCTGACACACAATCGCAACCAAACAAATCTCTTTCACCCAGGTAATGAATGAGTTTTCGTAAGGAGTCCTTTTTTTTTGTACTGAGCGTAGCTGGTGGCCGTCGTTACAGGATAAGCAGAACAGGTGAATGCGAACACATTTGACTGTTGCGATAGGCTTGCATGATATAGTGTGGACGTTGTGTAACCGTATTGTCTAACAAAAGAAAGACATCGCATTGCAAGGGGCAGGAACCAGGCACGCAGTATGTTGGGTGCCAGGAGAAGCTTGAGCTGTTAATGCTGTTGGTGGGATACCTCCTGTCTATGTAATGGCAGCCTTCCACTTGGTCACCGTCCTTTACCTTCTTACGGTAAGCGACAGACTTAATAGACTCGGAATTTCGTGACAAACCTATGCAAGGTGAGCCGGTAGATCCCATCCGTGTCACTACTACAACAGCATCAGTAGCTGAGCCATCACCACCTAATAGTACTTCCTCAACCCTAAAAAAGCGAACGAAACTGATCGTATGGAAGCTCGCCAAGAGCTCCATCGGTCGATTGAAAAAGGATCTGACGTCGCCATTGTCTTCTTAGGACCACCAGTAAATCACATCCGGCGATGCTCTTACAGCGCTTGCCTATGGTGCTCTCATCCGTGCGCGCGAAAACGCCAATATACCAAGAGCAGCAGTAGTGCAATCCAGCATCGAGCCCCAAGTTGGGATTGTCGTCCGAAAGCGCTTTGTCAGCCTATAGGATCTAAAGTACTACGCTATTTTGGAAACTCGTGTATATTTTGCAAGACCACCGTTCCGCGTGCTCTTCTACTGTCTCCAACAGTCGAGGGTACCTTGCGCGTCGCCCTTTGAATCGAAACTAAATGCGCACCCAGCTTTCACGATTAGTGATCGCCAATCAACTTGCCTTTTTCGAATGTCTCAAGATAAAAAAAACGTCTTATGAAATATTCCCGCATTTTGCACCAAATGTTTAAATTTGATTTCGGTTGGGGTAAATCGTACAAAACAGCTATTACTAATGGTTCCCAACCAACGCCTGGAACTGTTTATCTTCTGCCAGCGGATGGTGGACCAACTGGAGATGTTGACGTGAAATTTACTTTGAAAATTGATGCTATAAAACAGTTGGGTTCAGATCTGTTTCTATGTAATATACCGTATTCCAAGTAGCCAGTTGTAAAAAGATGCGCTGTAATAAATTGAGGTCATTTTGCAGTGCTAATTATTTGAAGCAATGCCTCTTATTTTTGGAATACAAGCAAATGATATTTTATCCTCACAGCATAATCACAATATTGTGGTGATATGATACATCACTGGATGTTTCTTCCACGATGCTGGCCAGTATGGTGAAACTACAATAATAAAGTCATGAGATTCCCCTCTTATTTTTTTTGTTGCTGCTTATATTTTTATATGTCGTTTTGTACTACTAGCACAGCACTACATACAACGTACAATTTTGAAAAGATCATGATGTCAGTTGCTGTAAGGAGCTTTGCCCCATATATTTGAAAGGGACGAAGGTACATATGGTATGTGGCTTTTTTTTTTAGCTTGAACAAATGCCAAAGGCTCAGCTGAGGAGGCATAATCAATATCGCCGTTGTTGCCTCGTTTATCAATGCATAAGCATAAGTGAGAAGCACCTCATCTTCTAGTGTATGTCGTGCATTTTTTAGAAAAGACAATACATCCAGCCATGTACCAGAGTATAATTAATGTAATATACTATACATATCGCTATGACTATTCTTGAATCAAGAACAAGTGCTAATTGTTGTATATATACAGCATAGATACTTATCATTTGAGATAGAGTACCGGCATCTTCTCGGTTAAAAACGACAGTCATGGGACTATGTACTGTCATTTTTATGCATGATGGCAGCCTTTTTATTCCTCTTTCTGTTACTGATATTCTACATTTAACTTTTTCAGATATCATTGGATAATAGATCCAAACAGATCAAATGAGAAATTTAAAAGATGATGGATAGCCAATAAACGTCATTTCATGTGTTGATTTAAAAATCGCATCGTCAAGTGAAAATTGACTCTGATCGCCGAGCCCAGCGGCCATGTAAACTGTTAGAATGAAATTATCTCGGCTTTTTGTTCGGCATAGTTTGTATGATATGAAGTGATGGTATATTGTTTTGCTATTATCATTTCTACTTCGCCATGGTTATGGTTTTCAATTACACACAGATGCAAGAGTTGGATGTTTCTTACTGGTCGTCTAACATTAATAAATATTCGTTTACTCATATAGGATATTAATAGCATGCAGTAGTCGAGATCAAAGCAGCTATTAGCAAAAACTTCGTTTTTAAGATAATATGATACACAGACTTGGTGCAGTCGCAGTGCATCGGCCCGATTAATCTATACATGTATTTCTAGCATCAATTATGTTGTTTGAATTCTTCGTCTTCATACTTTTGTCCTTCCTCTCTTTCTTGTTAAGTTTTATTCTATGCTCCACCAACATAAGCCAACACCACTCTTTCTATCTATTTTACTACTATTGTATCTATCATTGTTAGCAGGAAATAAACGTGTATCAGCAGCACCGAAAGACTTGATTGATGAGCAAGAAAACATAGCAGCAGAAGATAGTGTATTCGATGGTGATGATGGCGACGATTTGCCCCAAATAACACTCTCGCAATATATGGTGTCAGTCAATTACACTTCGCATGAATGGTACGAAGACAAACGGATGCCACGTAACGTATGGCGAGAGTCAATCACAGGGATGATACCATTCTATCACAACTGGGATGTAATGAATGATGACTATTTTTTAGTGTTTAATGTTCGAGATGATTCTTTTTGCGTTTGGGAAAAAATTACAACAAGAAGAGCAAAAAACATGAATAAACGGCCACTAATATTCTTCATTCTATGCATTGTATGATGAAATTAATAGGGAAACTTGATGAATCTTCATACAGCATGTCCTGGATCCTTATCAGCTTCAAACTTCACCGGACTCAATAATTTGTCGTCATTTCCCGAACAGTTATTAGATGACGATTGCGAAGCTAACGGCATAATACGGCGAGTAGCGCTTGTGTCACGAGGTGACGGTTGTTCCTGGTCGACCAAAGTTTCACACGCGCAATCAATCATGGGATCATACAACATGACACTTGCTGGCATAATCTTGTATGAAAAAACTAATACTGACCCTACGGTGAACGGAAAAGACGATGTTTTCGACCACGATGAAATCAAAAACAAGCCAGAAAATGACCTTATTGACGTCGAGCGACCGCCTACGACATCATCAGCGAATGGTACTTCATCAGCAATGGTCCCTGTAATATTTGTCAATGAAACTATCGGCAGCTTATTACTACAGACAGTGTATGCCAGTAGCAGCATGACGACGCTATCCAGAGTTTTAGTGTATAACGAAAACATATCTACCTCGGACATTGATAATGATGTGAACGAAGAAAAAGAAGAAGAAATTCGGGAGCAGCAAGAAAGCACCAACAAACTCATTTTGGCAGGTCAATTGATTGTCAACAGTGTTGCTATTACCTTGGTGCTGATTCTGATTGCGTATGCATGCCATCGTTACCGACGACGACAGCAGCAGCTGGCAGCAGGCAGGATGCTGATGATGAATAACCAACGGCAACCGCTGTGGGATGACAACTCGGAGGATACGAGCATATTTGATTCGACAACTAGTAGTTTCTTAGCGATCATGCGACGGCGGCATGAATCAGTCGAAGAAGACGACGAAGATGCTGGCATTGGATGGCAGCAACTGGACAAGTATCCGAAAATGAAGTATGATCCGTTGATTATACGTAACAGTACATGTGCTATATGCTTGGAAGACTTTCGAGTTTGCAAACGAGATACAAACAGCACAACATCATCAGATACTGTCGAAAAAGATAGTAATAATAATGCTACCAAGTTAGTGCGCCTGCTCAAATGTGGTCATGGATTCTGCGTATCTTGTATAGGTAAAGTATATGTGTATAGCAACTTATAGTGTCTACTCACATAACGAATTACATAGATCCGTGGTTAAGTAACAAGTCCCGAAACTGCCCGCTTTGCAAACAAGATTGCAGTACTCATGATTTTGACGCTGCTACTACTGCTACTATTACTAAACCAGAAGCAGCCCAAACTAATACCCTACGAATTGACGGCGAAGCATCTCACTGGATTTCTTCGCAACGCGCGTCATCAAGGCGTACTCGAAGAGCATCACGACCTCCATCTTTAGCAACAGAGAACAATTAATTATTCTTGTCATTTTCCCCCTTCACATACACGCTATCTTCTGTTCACATCCTTCTCTGGCTTATAATAATATTTCTGCATTTACAATTCCCAGATGAAAACACACACAAAAAAAGAGAGAACATAAAAAGTTTATTTTATGTACTTGCAACGCGCAATACGCGCACACATGCATCCACCTTATCACCGCTTTCTCCTATAGCCTTGCAACACTCTTCGAAATTATGCTGCCACGAGGTGTTTTGGATCGTCACATCTGCAAGTGCCTTGAACAGAACCAGGGTCATCATATAAGCTTCAGAAGAATTCAGTACAACCATGGATGCATCAGCGAACCGAAATGTTTGTATCAGATTGATAATGTCGTTTTCCAGCGCGTTTTCTAAGCCCATCTGTGCACGGACAAGTCCATAGCTGCAAAACAAAACATAAACTTCAGTACTTTTCCCTTCTCATGCATACTGCATGTGCCATTCTTTCTTTACTGGATTTTTCGATCCACTATGCGTTCCTCTTACGTTTCCAATATCCGCTCACTGAAGATCTGGCCACGCATCAAAGAAACTTCGTCGCGAATCGTATTGTCGTCTTCCTCACATAAAAGTTCGCGCATATTGACCTGGGATTGCGATTTTAATTCTTCAAAGTACCTCCGTGTAGTTTTGGTTGTCAGCCTATCCGTCATTGTCCATATCTTGCCGAATAGTGACATCTCTGGTACTTGACGCTTTTTCTTCTTTGACGACGGCTTTGGTATCTCGGGTATTACAACTTTGACGGTCTTCGGTGCTGCTGCTTTCGGTTTCTGCTGTTGTTGTTGCGAAGATGATGGTAATTCTGAGGAGGATACTGGTAATGTTGTTGTCATTGTTGTCATTTCTAATGCTTGGTTTGCCGGTGCTCGCTGTTGGTGGGGTTCACCTTGGTGCGACGGTGCTGATGCCTTGGGCTTGATTTCATCCGGTTTATCCGCTTGAAGATCCTTCAGCATCATCATCGTTTCCATGGCATCCTCCAAAAGAGCTTCTTCGTCTTCAAAAACAACCGTTTCCGAATCCACTGTTGTCGGTGATAGTGGTTTCATATCATCACCTCCATCCGCCTGGTCTCCATGTTGTAATACTAGTGTCGTTGGACCTTCCACGCTTTTCCGTCGCATTTGAATTTGGAAGCCTTCGATAGCGTCATGGATGCCATCTTTCGGCATGTTAGGAGGTACGGCATTCGGACTGGTGTTTTCTATGATGCGGATTTCATTGCCGGTGTCCGTTTCGAATGATGTTGCAGTAACATTTGCAGTCAAGGTCCCCGTTGTTGGTAAAATAGGCACGTTTTCCAACAGTTTTTGTACATAATCAATTCGTATCTGATGTCCTGTCCTGTCCTTTCTTTTATCCTCCTTTTCTCTCTGCAGCACTTTCCTAACAAATTTACAGGAAGCATACACTTGATGTTAATGTAGTGTCACAATAAGTTTTAAAGAGAGGAAAAGGAAATAAAAATATGAGAAAGAAACAAAATATATATACTTTAGATCTTCACTCGGTAAAACAATCTGAATCGGCGGTGGCACTTGCAAATCACGGAACCATACAGGCTCTTCAGACAGTTGCATTCTGAAATACTTTGATTTCTGCATACAATCATCAGAGCAATACGATGCCAGTTCGGATTGATCGTAGACTTTGCGCTGCGACAAGGAGATTCTATACCGTGGCTGATTTTTCTGCGGCGTACGATCGCATAATGGGTATCCGCAATAGTCTTGGACGGCACGTTCTTCAACAACCTCGTCGTAAGTTTGTGGCTGTAAGATCGCCGCAGCCTGTCGCAGCAGGTGAAGCGAAATTTGACGTTTGGAAAAGAGTTTCTCCTGCCAGGAAAATGCCAGCTCTTGCGATTGCAAGCGTTGTTCAGCACTTGCTTTGATAAGCTTTTGTTTTGCAGACAGGGCGGGTTTCTGTTTTCTGTTGACCGCAGGATTGTTGGGTCTTCTGTTGTTACTTTTAATGGTAGTGGTGTTGTCGTGCTTCTTCATTGTTAATCGTGTGTGGTGGAGGAAAGAAAGTAAAAGAAATGGCGGAGCTTGTATGTAGAAAGCGAAATAATATGCAATTTTCGTGTGTGCAGCGCGACTCCCTTTTGACAGTTCATTCACTGTCAGGTCACGGTCACCGGCTTTCCTCCTCTATCGTTAGCATTGTCTGCTTATAGCTCGACCTCTGTCTACCCAATCTACGAAAGGCTCTTATTAGAACAAAGCTATTTTATCTCTTTTCGCAAAAGAGCATGGTGTCATGCCTGCTAAAGATGGTATTACTGTAACGGCGAAATGGAAACTATGACTGGGACGCGTTCTACTCACAAACGCTGAGCTCATAAGTTTACAAAAGGAATCTTTAACAGGCTGGGAGGATTCAAGATACTACAACAATGTCATTTTGCGTGTAATAGGTCATACTTGTGAGTGACGCGTACAAATGTGCCTTTAAATGCACAATCTACATATTCTCAAAACGTGTTTTAATAATGTAGTATATCTGTTTGCTCTCAGCTAGAGATAAATAGACATTATACAGTAGCATTACCTTGATGGAAGCCGAGGAGTGGTTCGTTGAATCCTCCTGTTTTTATGCATCGAATTTGTAAGAGAAATTGATCAGAAAAGGGACGATACCAACAACATACAGCGAAGAGTATAGATGAATGATCATGTAGCATCTCTTATGATAGGTATAATTTGAGTGTAGGAGTTGGTAGGTGATGCAGGTTTTTCTTAAATGACACATGTAAAACAGGATATAGAATATGATATTTAAAGTTCGTAATGTAAGAAAGTGAAGAAAATGATGGAAAACAAGGAAATTGATGATAATGACAATATTCGATCAGGTCGGGCGCTGACGCTTGTTTGCTGATGAGAGTTTTGGTGACGATGGAGAAGATGCTTTTGTTGAACGTGAAGTGGATGGAGACTCGTAATTTGGTGGAAGACACCAGTGTCTTTTGAAGGAGGTAGTGGTAGGATGGGGTGTGCTTTTGACGGCAGCCAGCATTTGCTCCATGATATTTTTCCCGGTGAGCGCGATTTTTAGCAGAGGAATTACTCTTGTTATGAAATTTTGCTCGTTGCTTGGGTGTTCAATCGGGCGAAAGCGTCTTATTCTTGTAACCAAACCTTCTGGGATGTCTGCATCGACCAACGAGACCTTGCCACCTGTTTGTATGCAAAAAAAAGATGAGGGAACCTAACCACCGGCCCTTGTTTAAAAACCTGATTTAGACTTACCATTCATAGAGTATTCGACGACATGGGAACGGTGGAGTAGTGACGGAGCATAGGTGACATCAAGCAACATATCCCGGAGTACAAGTGGCATTTTGAGGGATCCATCTGTTAATGTTTTTGTTTGGTCGTTTTTTGATCCAATTTCAGTGCAGCCAAGCTCGATTGGTCCAGAAGCAAAGACAGTGTCGACACGTCGTCCCATCCTACGCCTTTCAATTGGATCGATAGCTGATAGCTTTCACTTTGCATTTTTGCCATTTCCACTGCTTTCGCTTGACTTTTCGGAGCTATACATAGTAAATAGAGAGATCAGTACATTGTTTCTTGCGTCTTTCACATCCTCCTTGATCATCTGGTTACTCTACCCTTTAGCAGTAATCAGCGTATCCTCAAAGATGGTGGCAAAAAAGCCAAGAAACTTGTAGAGCTGATCTGCTTCTGGAATGCTAGTGATGTCGAGTGTCTTTTTTTTGAGAAACGGCCTTAATACGTTTTGCAGCTCTGTTGACAGCCAAACCTTGAGTGAATCATCGCATGGATTTAATGGCATTCTGCGAGCATACATGAATACTTCTAACGGTGACTTCTACAAAATATTGATTGTAAGTATGTATGGGATTCCGTTTTCTCTTGTTGAAACGGAGGCAACAAGCTTACCATTTCTTTCAATTCATTGAATGTCGACGCTAACTCCTCTGGCACCTTGCACTCTTCCAAAGGTCCACCCTTCAAGGACACTTCTTCCAACTCATCTTCGCTAAATTCACTTTGCCAATTGTCATCAGTGATGTCTAAAATTAAAGACATTGATGGACTAAAAAATTTAGCAGGCAAGTTAGCATATAGTTTATGCATAGTGGGTATTTATGTTCCTGATTTTTGATCCTTACTGGTACATAGTAGTTGTATAACAAGGTGAAGCTCATCGCCTTCTCCTTGACTGATTCAGCCCTGCTGCCTTGGCGCTCTGCCTCCATTTTTGTCGCCTGCAGCATCCAAAACTTGCTACTATCTAACTTCTCAAAGCTCGCATGCAGCGCCTCCTTGTCTTGGTCCGTGATCTTGACCTTCAATACTGTTGTTGTAGAGGTAGTGGTAGTGGTAGTAGTTGGTGAGGTATTAGTGTCGAAAGAGTCGGCTTCACCGTTAAATTCTAAGCCACCAGTCGAAGTGATTGCAAGTTTTCTCTCTAATGTTTCCCATGCATGTGGATCAGATACCTTGAAAAAAGAAGAAAAAATTAGCTTCGCTACTACAAAAAGCAAATACTATGATCAATATAAAGAATAGTAAGTACTAACTAGTATTAAGCTGGTAGATTGAGCGCTATTTGTCAAACTTTTCATCCAAGTGCTTTTGAAGTCTCAGAATGAAGTATTTCTGTCCTTGGAGTTGACAATCACGCTATCAAGACGGTCCAAGACCGTTTGAAGGGTGACAGTGGTGTTGCTGTCTGACTGCGACAAAGGCTTGAATACTATCACCAGAGACATCGGTTATTTGTTGTACTTATACTAGTGCAAGCTTATTTACTGAAACATTTATACTGATAGCAGTAGTAGTAGCTACCTTCGTCGATTGAAGTAACGAGTTCAGCTTTTGTTGACATGGCAACTAAAGTGAATGTGGTTACAAGAGAGAAAATCAAAGTGCTGCGGAACGCGAGCGCCGAACCATGTGGGGCTTTTTGAATCATCAAGACAGTGATTGTTCTTCTCCACTCACAACAGGGCTGAGTTTCTGGCTTTGCGTTTGCCGCGAATCTCTTGATCCAGATCGTGGCAGTTTCATGTTTGACAACTGGCAATTGTCCTTTCGACAGACAGGGTCTATCCTTCTTTGTTACTCACGGTAGAGTGCTGCGTATAAAGCTTAGTAGAAGAGTGTTTATGCTAGAGTGTGTACAAAGATAGAAAGAAAAGCGTGGGGTTGATTAATCAGGCAAAGACTCATTTACGATACATAATAAGACATGTCACTTTCTTTTGAGCTATATGCAATCTAAGAGCGTTTCACGTTGCGAACCTGTTGTTACTATAGGCATCTTACAGTTATGCAGCTTAAAGCTTTGTTGCAACACGTTTAAGTAGTCTTTTCTAACACACTTGCACCGACAAGCCGGACATGGCTAGATTACATATGCTAATGCTCGACCCACTTGCTGTCGCCGACATACGAACATTCCGCCCTCACCATGACAACAAGATAAGTCATCATGAGGAAGACCTAGTGACCACACGAACCGTACTGCTCGAATAACATGATAGAACGCTTCCAACCCTTATCATATGAACGAAAGCTTTGGCAGATGACGTATTGATGCAAAGAAAAATGATATGCATTTGTTAGCATATAAAGACGACGACCGCCTTGGGTATGTAATGTTCATCATATTTAGAAGCTATATCTCGATTGGTCACGATGTAGTGTATGTTTAACTTGTGCTTCCAGCATTAAACAAAGAGAAATAAAAAGATTGATTTGCTTGTATTGTTGCTATATTATTACAAAACGGTTGATACTGCACATGTACATGCGTACAGAGTGTGATAAGTAGAGGATATAGACTGTTTCATGCTATCATAAATTACACATCAAATCAAAAAATTACATATGTGAAAGAGAGAGAGAGAAATGAAAAAAATAGATGAGACGAAAAATAGTATAACACTGCAAAACAATATATGGAAGCAACTACAAAGCGCCTTGAAGCTCCAGATCCACTACTTCTCTCCTCCCTTCTCTTGCTGTCAACATGTTCGCTGGTAACGGGTTTATGTTTGATCATGGATAATGATGGGTGCGGAGTATTAGGTGCTGTTGTGGCATCGCGCATAGCACTGCTATTCCTGCTCGTTCCTCTGCTCCTTGTTGTTCTTGATTATCTAACCCCAGACTACGTGGATTCAGAAAGGACAAGCACGATCCTACTGACGATGATGAGGATGTTTAGAGTTTAAAAAATGAGTACTATACGTGACTAGACAACTAATTAAAGAATCCATTTCTGTCTGTGATAAATAACATACCTTGAGGACAATATCCTAGAGCATTCTCAATACGAATAAGGTCCAGCCTGACAGAAAAAAATATGATGAAGCGTCTTTATTAGTACGATAGCTCAATATATTACTTAGCTGGAAGCAGTCAAGTTAATTAAGGGCATTTGATGATGCTGTTCACACAATTGAAGGTGTCGAAATAGATAAAGAAAAAAGAGAGGAAGAGAGAGACAGAGAAACGGTACTCCGAGCAACAGTGATTCAGGTTATCTTGTGAGGACGGAACTGACAAGGCCATCCCCACTGATGCACAGTAGTCCATCATGAGCAAACAGCAAGCGAGGACGTTACTGGCAAAGTACTCTGATGCATCATGATAAAATAGTGGTATCCCAGATTTGGGCTTCCTTGTGAGGACGGAACTGACAAAGGCCTTCTGATACCAGAAGAAATCGTACCATTGCTGATGCTTCTGTACATAAAAAGGGTCTACGAAGAAAACAGAACTATGGCGAAGTGCTGCGGGAGTTAATCCTTAACTGTAATTCCTTAAAAGGTTTTATAGATTAAAGGTAAATCATTGTTTAAAGATATATATAAAAAATAAAAAATTAGATTATAATTTTTTTAAATGTTTAAGATTTTTTTTAACTTTTTTTTTAATTCTTTAAAGGTTTAGGTTTTGTATAAACCTTTTTAAACTGTTTAAAATGTAATATCCTTTAATGTTTAATTCAAACCTTGTAGTGGTGCAACAGTAGTGAGCAAGTCCCTTCTCTAGCCAAGGAATACTTGGACAAAGGCTAGCTTGACAGTGAAAGACATAACTAAAATTAATTAGCAATTTATTGCTAAATTAATTGTTATGGATTGAAACTCTGTGCGGATAAAGAAAGCAAGGAGCAAAAGCCACTATAATTGAAGAGCAGCACTGTCCAATAGGAAAGCTCAATAAGAATGAGATGGAGTAATATAGCCTATAATAGTAGAATGTCACGAACGGTTGCTGCGGTGTTACACATCTGTTGCCATTGATCTCACCGTAGCAACATAATCGTATAATATTTTCATACGCATTATGGATGATTTGCTATAACTCTGCGTCTTCTCATCAAGATTAAGGTAATACAGCAACCATGGAGCTTTCTTAAGTATCTGGTATCATGACTATGAGCAGGGTACCTTTAATTAAGACTTGCGATAGCGGATGACGATTCATCAGCTAAAGAGATGAGTAAATTATCTAAAGGTTAAGAAGTTATTGATTTTACACGAAAGTGTCTTGTTTGAGCCCGCAAGTTTTTTTAGCCGCTAGGTCTCACTATGTTTCTGTAGGTGCGTTTTTCGCTTTAACATACTTTGCATTCGTGAACACTCGATCCATCTACATCCAAATTCTAAGGTTGCCGTTTGGAGCTTTTGAAACCTGACAAGGTCTTGGAAGGTAGTTAAAGGTGTCCGAAAAGTTACAAACGGCAGCTAACGGCAATTTGTATCTTTCGGATGTATCCCTTTCAAGGCCTATAGTTGGAAGGGCTTTTAGTCTACATAACAGCCCCAGCAGCTTAGACAGCAACCACATTCATCATGTTTAAAGAGTGGCGTTTTGAATAACACGGCATCGCAAGTTTGCACATACTCTATCAAGTTTTCTTGCTTGATGATTATTTTGGCGGCGTGAATTGTTGCTGGAGGGTAGCTCGGAAGTTTAGTCGTCATAGTGGATGCGTCAGCCTACGCCTTCGAGTTCGCCCTTCTGAAGGTACGCACTGCTGCGAATAGATAAAAGCTTCATTTCGACGTCGCTCAATGTTTGTACGGCCAAAGTTGAAAGCCGGATCGCAGATTAAAAACTACCAGCTGCAATGCTTGTTCTGATACGTTTACCAATTCCACCAATTGAGCCGGGATAGAAAAAGCTGGATCCGTTTAGATGGTCAGTGGGATGGTTGAAAGCATAGGTGTCAGCGTCATGGCAAATTTGTTGCAATTAATGTTTGGTGTTCTTATGATAGCAGCGCCTAATGCATTCTTTGAAATGATGTTCTATGATACATAATTTCTATATCATGGTAAATTATGGCAGTAAAAACGATTTGTACAAGGTATTGTTCCACCTTAAGTTACCGTTGATATAATCAGACCAAATCTTGTGCACTACTGTAATATGTATTCTCCTACTGTTTCTTCAAACACTATTGATATTTTTTATCCAACATCAAATAAGCCTCCAACAACTTACAGCTCTGATCCATCGCGCTATTACGATGTCGGTGGACGTGCGTTTATTTGGGAAAAGCCATCAGAAACCGGAAGTTTGCGCCAAACAAGCACCCTGAGGTACTCAGCGCAGCAGTATTTTGTCGCACGTTACGATTTGCCATCTATCATTTTTTATACCTTACTGAGACGGATTTTTGATAGAGCTGATACATACATCTTAGCTTTGGGTAGACTCGCGTTAGTATTGTTGCTGGGGTACACGTTTCGTTATTACGTGTTTGCTCGGGTGGGACGTATTTTTTTGTAGGGCAGTCTAAGGTCTGACTGCATTTTCTTTATTTAAAGTGCTGACCAGGAAATACAAACTCCCTTTCTAGCATTTGTATTGCAATGTAGCGGGACATAAGACCCGAAGGGACAAAGAGGGCACGAGAGCAGGGGTCTCAAGTAGTAGATATAACATTTGTTCGGACTATATTGCTTGATTAATCTACAAATCAACGGACCGGACCAAGATCAAGGACAAGTGATGCAGAATGTCATACCATTGACGCAGGGCGAGGAAACAAGAGCGAAGCCGGAAACACAAGAACAGGGAGACAGAGAAATGAAATATGATTTTCTTGAGAATCGAACCCGGGTCATACAGGTCAAAGCCGCGTTCGGGTAAGATGTGATTAACTATTGAAATTACGAGATGGCAGTATTGAAAGTTAGATGCGGTCAACGACTCATCAAGACGACTGACCGTTGTTTGATGGATACAATACATTACATCGTTGTGATCTTTTATTTCCCGGATGTCGATATCTCTTCAGGAGTCTGTGCACAAGGATAGAGGGCAAATCCGGGCTTTGAGACACTGAAAATACAGCTGAGGATCCAAATTAGGCCGAAATCTTTTGTCACCCCTTGTTGTTATTCATTAAATGGTAACAGAAAGCTCATCATGTTTGAAGAGTAAGTCCTACCCTTTAAGACAGCTGCTTTTGCCAGTTCCACTTGAGCATTGTCTCAAACTGTTGCTATCAACTTGTCTTATCACAATCTAGAAAGTAAGGAATGCAATAGATAAAAAATATTTGCTATCAACGCTCAAGTAATGTGATCACTCTAAATCGGACGTGGGAGAAAGAACCCGTGTGACTATACAGTACATTGTTATTTCCAAGAAAACAAAAATATCATAGCTGTTGTAACTGTCATGAAAGAAGCAGCTTCTCAGCTGTTGTTTATTCATGGCATTTGCTTGTTTATTAAGGATACCAATCAATTTACCAATGCAGGGCCCTGAAACACAAGTGCGATAATGATTGCTTAGGAGCCTATCATATATGAACCATCGGTTAGGTTACTATGGTTTTTGCTGCATACCTGCGCCAGA